TTCATAAGTAATAGTCTAGAGTACTCTATCCATATTCTGCCTTTGTCACGTTATCATAGATTCATATATGTTCTAAATTCTATATTAAATCTTTATATGGTATTCATAATGATCGGTCCACTGATTATATTCTGCATTTTATAATAGGTAAATCCTTCCATTTCATAAACCTTTTTTCAATTAGCATCTGAGTAATTATTAAACGCGACTTATATTTATTTTATTTTTTTTGGGTGGTGAGCTTACATGCGTCACGAAATTGAAAATGAAATAAATTTTGTCTATTTTTGGTAATTTTGGTCCCGACAGAAATAAATTAATACGAAGCTTAGAAGTGACAGATTTATCAGTTCCCACTCACGTGGACCCTTCCCTTTTGGAGCTTTTGTCTTCTTTGTAATGTCTTGTAACATGACACTATTTAATGCCCCCGGATCTAAGATGTTACTAATTTGCGCGTGAAATTGTTTTTTAATTATATTTTTATTATGTACGATATAAATATTTCATAAATCGGTAAGGGTATTGCAAAAACACTTTTTATTTAAACAAAATTAAATTCCCAAACTTTTTGTAACTCTTATTGTAGATGATAGTACAGAACCGTAGTCACTAAGTAAACTAGCATAGATTTGTTTTTTTTTTTGGTATAATGCAAAAAATTATATAGCCGAAAGAAGTTTAGTTATAAACCAACCAAAATACTGAAACCAAAAGATACGTGGAACCCAAACAAGATGTGGAAACCATCAAAATATCAACCGATATATATCAATCTGCAAAAGAACAACCACCACCCAAATCTACCGTGTGAAATGATACCAATCCTGCAACATTCGGTTTTCATCCGCCGAAACAGTTTCTTGCCTCGACATGATAGTATCTCTGATTACTCGATCAACTTTCTTCATTATGCAATCCAAACTCTTGATCTGATTACGAAAAATCCTAGTGTTCCACTCGCGCCAAACTTCGTATATGACAACCTGCAGGAGGAGCTTAATCAAGTTCTGCTTATTGTTGCTATGGTCCCGAATTAGATGCTTTATCCATGCCGTAATCTCTCCCAGGTCAGCCGGTGGTGATGGCTAAATCTTTCCTGCGAATGCAATCCAGACAGCAGTACTAAAATTGCACCGAAAAAATAGATGAGAATGGTTTTCTGTGTCAGTGTTGCATAAGCATAGATTTGGTTGAGTCTTGTTAATAATGTAATTACTCGAATGTGTGTGTATATATATATATACACGCATCTATATATATATATATATATTACACCATGCGGAAAATGTGTGTATTCACGTACACACCACAAAAAGAATATATGTATTCTATAAAATTATATATATGTGGCTGTCTATAGTGTGTATATAACATTGCAAGCCACAATATTAATTCGTTGAATTTCAAGGCTTTTGTTTAGTTAATGAATCACACATCGTAAGATTAAGATTATCGAGATATATGAAAAACATTTTTCGAATAAATAAAAAAATGTGGAGAATATATTTAGAATTTATTTTTATTTATATATTTTATATATTTATATCCATTAAATAAGATATTATAAGATTATGTTTAGTATCTGTAAATATTGTAATTGTTTATTTTAAATACTAGAAAAAACAAATGCCACTCGCCGGTCCAAAACTCAATAAAATATGGACCTTTTTTTTTGTTAAAGAATAAAATACGGACATACTCAATTCCTTTGTAAAGTTATTTTTTATTAGTTTTTTTGAAAAAAAATATTATTAGATATGATATAGGATATGATTGTTTTATTATTAGATATGATATAGTTGTTTTGAACAAATATAGGATATGATTGTTTTAAATCAAATCAAATCAATTTATCACATTTAAATCAAATCAATTACATAATATATTATTATATTTTAAACTAATTAAACTTAAAATTTTATTAGATATGATTGTTTTAAAATCATTAATCAAATCCAAATTAAATTTTAAAATAAAAAATTCAACCAAATAATTTTCTAATTAACAACACAAATCCAAATCTAAAATTTTAAAATTAAAATAAAGAATTTACATGAAATCAAAACGGAATAAAAATATAATTCTAATTAATTTTTATGCGAATTTTTAAACTAAGATGTTTCTTCCCATATGCCAAAAGACAAGCATAATAAAATTTGTTTATTTTTATCAAAATTTAAAAGTCTTTTGATTATATTTTCTCAAGTAATTGACCTAAATTCGAATTATCTAGTCCCGGATGGTTATCCACCATCCAAATAATAATCATTGTTGAAAAGTCATTAAATTAAAATATTTTTTAGAATATTATACGTCCCAACACTCGCCTTACTATATATAATTGCCATTCAACCGTTCCCTCGTCTTCACCATTTCCCTTCTTCCCCCGAACCCTAAATTCCGCCGGAAAAATTCCACAGAGAGAGAGAGAGAGAGGAGATGGCGAATGTCCGGCTGGCTAGGTTCATAACGGAGGTTGCTCCGCCGCAATTCGTGACGGTGATGAGGCAAAGGACGGCGAAGATGCTCGACACCATCAAGGAAGAGGAAATCAGAGACACTCTCAGCGATTCTCTCTACTTGTCCTCTTCGTTTGCTCCGATGACGTCATCTCCGTCTTCTTCCTCTGCTCCGCCTCTTACTTTCGCCGGTCCGAACAAATCTCCGGCGAATTTGGTCCGGGGCTCGATAATGAGCCTGGATCGCTAGGTTTCTACGGAGATTGCTGTATTTCGGCTTTGGTTGTGTACGAATCGGAAAATAGATTAGGGTTTTTTCTCGTTCCCTTTTGTTTCTATCATCAGATACAGAGATACATATATTTGTATATATCTGTGTGTATATGTATCGTTGATGCAGAATTAGTGTATAGTTTTGTGATTAATCTAAAGGATGTTTAGGAAATAACCGTTTCCGATGAGCTCCGGCGGTTCAGGTGATCGGAGCGGTAACCTGAACCGGGTCGATCGAACCGGATAATCCCGGTTCGGTTTGACCCGGTCCGGTAGAAATTGTCTAAATGTTTCCTTGCAGTGCCTTTGTACGGCATCGTCTGCCGTCTGGTATTGGGTTTGATAATATTTAAATAATTAGCAAAACGTTCAAGTTTTTCACACTCCAAGCATTGACCCATATGGAATTGACTCTTATAAAGAATCTTATAATTTAATTTTTTTATTGCAATAGTGATTTAATCACATCAAATACTATTTTGAAATAAAATTGGGTTTTATTATCAAATTAATTTGAAAAAACCAAATGGGAGTTTTTATACTAATAATCGTCTATAATACATCAACCAATATCCTAATTTCCTTTTAATTTATGCCGTTACGAAATAGAAAGCATGGAAAAATAATTTCGAAAAAAATGGAAAAAAATAAAAGAATAACATGTCTTTATATACATTTTAATGTGAATTTGTCATCCCTATATATATATATAATATACAAGTTTTGCAAATTTTGAAGAATGGACCGTTCATTGGTTAAACTTTAATAATATCCAAAATCTTTTGTCTCACTTTTGTTCCTCTTTTTTTTTTTTGTTTATATAATTTTATTGTTCTTTTCCGTAATAAAATAAAATAGATTGAGAGATTGAAAATTAAAGGTCAAACTTTATTGTGGTCCGCAATAACGTGGCATGTTGTTGACATCACATGTGCCCCCAATAATTTCATAAAATAGATTTTTTTAAAAAAAATTAGGCCAATTGTTATCATTTTATTTTTAAAATTTTACCAAAATTATACCTATTTCATTTCCATTATAATTTGGGTTAGAATCAAATTTTATTGAATTGACTTAAAATTATTTTAACAAAAAATTATATTCATTATAATTGAAATCAAAATCATTTGAAGATAATTAGTATTATTTAATTTTGTTTGATTTTATATATTGGAAAAGGAATGTAATTCTCTAGGATTTGTAGTTTATACTTTATTAGATAAACAAATCAGGGTCCAGTTAACGTAACATTCCGATTGAAATTCATTTTATCGTTTATAATGATACAATTAATATTTTTAACACACAATTTTAAATTTTATTTGCCGGCACCTAACATAATATAATATGACAGACAAAGTTAATGTGATGATTAGTTCTAAAATAGTGCTTATGTCTCTGTCTAATTACTAATGGCCACTTTGCTTTCGATATAATCTACGTTGTGGCTAGAAGACACGTGTCTTATTTATTTTACTTACAGATTGGGAAGAAAATTATTTTATAGGGTGGGTTCTTTACAAAATGTTAAAAAAATAACAATTCACAAACTATATAAAAAAGGATATTTATAAAAAATATATTTTTTAAATACCAGAGTTATATTTTAAAACAAAAAAATGAAGAATATTATTATGTTGGATAGGATTATTATTATTATTTTTTATTTTGATAATTACGAGATGTATTATACATTCAGCCTAATTAATCTTTCTAAATCTAGAATCAGGTGATAAATTTTTATTTGTCTAAATATTTAGATATAGATACATGTATTTTTAGAGATATCCATATTCGTTTTCACGGATTTTATAAAAATATTATATTTAATTTTTATCTCAAATCCATCCAAGTTTGGATTTGGATAAAATTATATTATTATCAACTAAAACCCATTAATTAATTTATGACTAAATCTAAATCTCAGATTCAGACGTACGAAATAATTTGATCATAGATTTTTATGAGAGATGATCTGAATATTAATGTTTGGGATCTCTGTCTAAGCAGGCGAGACCTGAATATTAGTTTCTATCATTAAAACGTTTTATAATGAAAGATTAATAACCAAGAGATGGAAGATTAATTAATTTATTAACAAAAAAAGATTAATTAATTAGATAAAGCCTTCCTCGTATAACACTTGCAGGTGAATATAAATCCATGTTAATAAAGTATATCATATCGAATGATTTATGTAATTTAATTGTTTTATAACTCCTTCCACATCGACTCCCCGCAGATTTTTATTGGTTTACCCTCTCTCTCTCTCTCTCTCTCTCTCTCTCTCTCTCTCTCGCTCGGCGTCGATTTCTCGCAGGAATCCGCCGGGAAAAAGTTTCCGATTTTACGAAACTCTCGATCATCGTCGTCGGATTTTCATTGGCTTGGTGATTTTTATCGGTTTATTTTCTCATCGGATTCGGCGGACTTGATGCGTCGTGTTCTTCGCTCGTCAGGAATTTTCTCCGCACGCGATATTTGAATTTGAATTTGTTCCGGCTTCTGGGTCTCCGATTCTAGGGTTTTTTCTGGGCACCTTCTTCAGTTATCTGGGTATTTGTAGATCTCCACCAGCAAGATGAGTGTTGCTAAATCTCAGGTTTGGCAACCATGCAAGAAGAAGAGGTTGTGAACGCTAAAAAGAGATCGATCGCCACTGTAATCTGAGGAGGAGAAGAACAGCTGAGAATCTACAGACGAGAGCAAGAGATGGCTTCTCGGTCGGGATCTGCGAGCAATTCGGGAAATCTGGGCAGGACAAGAGTCGGAAAGTACGAGCTCGGAAGGACACTCGGCGAAGGGACCTTCGCGAAGGTTAAGTTCGCGAGGAACGTCGAAACGGGAGAGAACGTCGCCATCAAGATCATTGACAAAGAGAAGGTCATGAAGAATAAGATGATCGCTCAGGTATAAAAGCCTTCTCCTGCAATGGAGATTGACTTGAACTGTTCAGTTTTGATGTCGACATCGTTCCTTGTTCGCAGATTAAACGTGAGATCTCGACCATGAAACTGATCAAGCACCCGAATGTGATCCGTATGTACGAGGTTTGATCTAGTTTCATGTTCTTGTAATATCTGTTTCTGCATGCTCATTCTTAGTTTCATTCATTCAGATACATGGCTTTGATTGGAAGCTTGTAAGTGCATGTGGTCCCTTGCCCAGCATATACTATATTATATATATACACAGATATTATATTCTTCTCTTTGAAGGTATAGTATTCTCTCCTTTCAGGTGATGGCAAGCAAAACCAAAATATACTTTGTTTTGGAATTCGTGACCGGTGGTGAGCTTTTCGACAAAATTGTAAGTTTCGGTCCAAAGATGTGTTTTTTCGTTGGATAACTTAATAACTCGAGAGCCCGAGTGAAGAAGAAGTATTAACTCTTTGATCCTTTGATTAGTCAAGTAAAGGGAGGTTGAAGGAGGACGAGGCAAGAAAATACTTTCAGCAGCTTATTAACGCAGTTGACTATTGCCATAGCAGAGGAGTTTATCATAGAGATCTTAAGGTCATTGACTCGGTTTTTTTGCTTGTAAATTGATCTCAATGTTAAGGTTTAGTTTGTCAATGAGCTGTGGCATCTTGTTTGATTTCTTCTTGCAGCCGGAGAATTTGCTTCTTGATGCAAATGGAGCTCTTAAAGTGTCTGATTTTGGGTTGAGTGCTCTACCTCAGCAAGTTCGGGTGAGCACTATGCCGTCTTATTGTATATATACTTTGATATGAACAATGTTATAAACTTACAATACGGTATAATTAAAAAACTGTGGCATCTAATCTAAGAAGAAAGAATTTCACGAAAACGTTAAAGCTGATGTTATGATTCTTCTTATTTAGGAGGATGGACTGCTTCACACAACTTGTGGAACTCCAAACTATGTTGCTCCTGAGGTATTATTCACTTGACTGCAAACCGGGTATTGTTTTATTTTTTTAATATTTTGTTTTGTTTTTGTTCTAATAATTTCTGCTTCGGTCTGTATAGGTTATCAACAACAAGGGATATGATGGAGCCAAGGCTGATTTGTGGTCGTGTGGTGTGATTCTTTTTGTCCTAATGGCCGGTTATTTACCTTTCGAAGATCCTAATCTCATGTCATTATATAAAAAGGTGTCAACTATTTTGTTCCTCGCTTGCTCTTCCTTCTTCTGCGTGTATTCATTTTTTGCATTCTATGTGAAAGTTCATGTCATGAGTCTCCTTTCTTAACGAACACAGATATTTAAGGCGGACTTTACTTGTCCCCCCTGGTTCTCTACAAGTGCTAAGAAGTTGATCAAACGGATCCTTGACCCGAATCCAGCAACGGTATTTTTTTCTTCTTCTTGTTTTCGTATTTTCTCATTCCTTGTTCTGTGTTATTCAAGCTTCTGGCTTTACCAGAGTGATTGAAATTCTAGACTTTGACGCCGATTTCATATTGAATAGAGGATCAAATTTGCTGAAGTCATTGAAAATGAGTGGTTTAAGAAAGGATACAAGGCACCTGCATTTGAGCATGCTGATGTCAGCCTCGATGACGTTGATGCAATTTTTGACGAATCTGGGGTAAAGGCTTCCGATTATTTTTTTTTTAATTTTTGTATTCTGTTCTCTTTTGCATCTTTATCAGATCGTAGTGTGGCCAAAACATGCCTGATTGGTTGGTTTTTTGCTTGTCGGTTTATAGGATTCTAGGAATCTTGTTGTGGAGAGAAGAGAAGTAGGAGCTTCGGCACCCGTATCTATGAATGCCTTTGAGCTGATCTCAACTTCTCAGGGTCTCAATCTCGGTACTCTTTTCGAGAAACAAATGGTATGATACTTTGAGATTTTGGGATTTCATTGTTGCCATTTGTTAGCTTGCCAAGTTTCTTCTTTTCTTTTCGGGTTTGATCTTCTCTTCGGTTTTTCTCTTTTCTCGATTTCATTGGAGCTAAAGACGAATAGGTTTCCTTTCATGAAAGCTTAGTAGTAACAGTTAAACTTATTCTGGTTGAAGTCTTCCTCTCAAATCAGTGATTTTTGATTTCAGGGGCTTGTTAAACGCAAAACGAGATTTACCTCCAAATGCAATGCTAATGATATAATCTCAAAAATTGAGGCAGCTGCTGCACCTTTGGGGTTTGATGTTAAGAAAAATAACTACAAGGTTGGAATACTCACACTTCATATCTATCTACCTGTATGTATATACCGAAAATATATGCATTACCATCCTCTTCCAGGTTAGACCCTTACATCTTCTGTTATCTGATTTTAGATGAAACTCTTAGGGGAGAAGGAAGGACGCAAGGGTCATTTAGCAGTGGCCACTGAGGTATTTTCATAATTTCTTGAGGTTGGTTGGTTGAATCTTGTTTCAAAATAAAATTCCTTCTTTTTTATATTTTAAGGTATTTCAAGTGGCACCGTCACTTTATATGGTTGAAGTCCGAAAATCCGGTGGTGACACCTTGGAATTTCACAAGGTATGTTACCCTAAATCTTGATTCTTCTCCCACGGGTTTTGAACTAAGGCACCTTTTAACTAAAATCAAGTTTATTGTCAATGGTTTGAGTTACCGAAGATCGTCTAGGAATCATCTGCTCTTGTATGTGGTTAAAGAATCTGAACTAGCCTCTCGTCTTGCCCGTTTTCCCTGGTTTTTTTTTTTTTAAAGTTTTACAAGACCCTTACCGCGGGGCTGAAAGACATTGTCTGGAAAACAATAGACGAAGAAAAAGAGGAAGGCAGCGATGGTAAGTACCGAGCATGCTTATGAAATGCATTGAACTATATGTATGAAGTTTCTGATAGCCAAAGAAACCGAGATGAAAACAAAAGATGACACCTTGCACTTGCATGAACTGAATCTGTCATTCACATCTTGGATTTTTCAGGTGGCACTGCCATGGCCGTAGCTTCTTCTTAAGAGTATGAACGCTCGTTTTCTTCTTGATTTTCTCGGTTCAAAATGCTCGGTATTCGTCTTCATTCTTGATTTTTTCTCGGTTCAGAACACTCGGTTATGGTTGTCCGGTGATATGGTCTTGGAAATTATACAGGAAAAAAGATTTGCAAGTTTTTTTTCGTCTTTTGTTGTGGGGGTTGGTGGTTCCATGGAACTGTTGTGAAACTGTGAATACCGACAACATGTTGCAGGGATGAGAATATGAAGTGGGAACTGTGTGTGTGTTGCCATTGGAGCAGAGCTTCGTTGTCTGGATTGGATTCAGACATTTGATTCTGTTTTTTCAGTTTTAGTTTTCAACAGACTTATGTCTTCTTCTTCTCGGATTCAGGATGCAGTAGTGGCGATTGTGTGGATATTATTATTGTACATGTACGGGGGACTCTCAATACGTTTTTATAAAGATTGATTTGCTTAAAAGCTATTAGGTAAATGCTCTGAATACAATATGCAGTCCGGTTTGACTTCGGTTCGGTTCTGTTCCGATTTTTACTAAAAGAAATTAGATCTTAAAAAATTTTCTTTTTCGGAGTTTTTTAAAATTTGTTTCGATTCGATTTTAGAAAATTTAGTTTTTATAAAATTAATATTGTTCGAAAAATTTGGAATAAAAAAATACCGAATTTTTTGGTTCGATATGGTTCGGTTCTTTGGAATGGAATATGCAAAATTTATACCATTGATAGATATGATCATGTAATTCGGAATGGTCTCTGCGCTGTCATTAAGAAAAACCGAACCATGGTGTAATTATTTGAAGATTTTTAATATAAAAATTTTAAAATAGAAACTAAATCCTAGAGTAAAATCTAAAGGCTAATATAAAAATTAAAAATACTTTTGTAATCGCAATGAATATTGTTTTTTAATAAACATGTCCAAAATTTTCCTCTAAAATCCCCTTGAATGAACAAAAAAGCAACACAAGACCGTAGAGTGGGTCAATCGGATTTTGATTTGGATTCCATTTGATTTTAATTTCGCCTATAACTGTTTAATTTTTTGTATTCGGTTCGGTTACTACAAAAATACTTATTTTCTTAAAAAAATTACGATTTTTCGATTATTTTTTTATTCAGTTTGGATTCGGATTCGGTTTAAAAAAAATCATAACCATTCGGTTTTATATTTAATTCGGTATGATTATAATTATAGTGGTTTAAATCATATCCATTGTTCGGTTATTAACTAAAAAAACTACCCTACAAGACAGATTAATAAATTAATAAAAATTTGGCATTAAAACCCTGAAGCCCTAAAACCCCACTTGTTTGCTCCAAGAGAGAGAGGAAACAAAAAGTCGTGTTTTCTTTCTCCTTACAAACATTTTCATGGCTGACATTCGTCGTCGTCATTAGACGATCTTAATGACTGATCAACTAATGGTCTCAAGGAAAAAAAAGAGAAAAAAGGGCAAAGTCGATTCCTTTTGTTGCCATTCGACCTGGGTTCTTATCAGATTATGAAAATTTGCGAGCTTTTTTTGGGAGGGGTGATTCTTAGTTTCCCTGTTTGGATTCGAGAGGATTAGAATGTTATTTTGCAGGGGATTTTCTCGGATTTCTTCCAACTTTCCGAGAAAACGAAGCTTCTTTCTCTGCCCTTCTTTTCTCGGCTCTCATCGGCACCTCGTGGTGCTCGATCAAGATCATTCTCGCCCTGGCTCTGCACAGGAGGTAATTGCTCGTTTATCTTGTCTGAAAACATCATCATTCGATTAGGGTATCTTCGATTTAGGATTGTTGTGGGTTTCGATGTTGGGTTTATTGGGGTTCAAAACCAACTGATTCCAAAAGTTTTAGTAGCTTTATATGAAAAAGGGTTTAAATTTAGTTGCTATCTAGCTTAGTTTGGTGGATTTCCTCAGACCAGCAGATACTTTCCTCATTATTTTCGTGAAAATGTGTGAGAGCATGAGAGAATCGAATCATCACCCAATAATTATTTTTTTCCTGAATGTTTTCATGGGTTCTTGTTGGAGATTTGACGATTGTTTATTGCTTGTCAATGCTCTCTCTGTGTGCGTGTGTGAGAGAGAGAGGGAGAGAGAGAGAGAGAGAGAGAGAGAGAGAGAGAGAGAGAGAGAGAGAGAACATGTTGACATGAGTTTTGTTTTTCAGAGTTTCAGATACTTGTAATTAGTGACCTAATCAATGTATGTTTTTCCTGTTATTATTTATGCTGTTTAGTAGGGCTTCGGTTGCAGAGAAACTTATTCATGGAGATCTCCTGTTTTTGGCAATTTTAGACATCAACTCTATCATCAGAGCAGCTCCTTAGTTGAGGTTTGAACCTACCTGTCTCATCCCTTGGTTTTCTGTTCTCTACTCCAAAGCTTGAAACTTTGAGCTTCTAGGATTAGATTTCCGCTATACTTAAGCTGGACATGGGCTTTGACTCGATAAGAGTTATCCGTTCCATTGTCCTAATATCTGTTCTTATTTGTTTTATTAATCCTCGTACCGAATTGGTTGTCGTGCTTTGTTAGTATTCGTTGCTGAATTTGGTGAATCCTTCTTGGTTGTGTCATTCCATATTTGCTCATCTTTCTGCCCTTTACTGAAAGAGTGACTTTCCTTTTCCAGGAGGAGCTTGACCCGTTCTTGCTTGTTGCCGATGAGCTGTCCCTTCTCGGTAATAAATTGCGAGCAATGGTCGTTGCTGAGGTATTTACTTACTAATATTTCACACTTGGTATCTTTTGATTTGATTTAGTGTGTTCATGTCATGTGGGAATGGTTGAAGTAGGTTTGCCACTGGAATTGATGTTGAGTGAAGTTATACATCGATTTTGTTTCCAAATCTATCTTCTTCTGTCTAGGTTCCGATGCTTGCCTCTGCAGCCGAGTATTTCTTTAAAATGGGGGTTGAAGGAAAGCGCTTTCGTCCTACGGTAATGGCAATGATTCTTCCAAGTCTCTATCTGTGTCTTATCTTTTCATCGCACAATCTGAAATTCCATGTCTGGTTTCCCATCATTTCACTATTATTATCGTATATTTTGTATTATGGAGATAGCCTCTCTCCCATCCGAAGCTTCAGCTGTCTTCTCTCATGAGTTTTTTTTTTCCTGTATGTTTCAAATGAAAGAAACTTATTAGACATGTAATATTTTCAGGTCCTGCTGTTGATGGCAACTGCTCTAAATGTACGTTTACCAGATATACACGCATCAGAACTACGTGCAAGGCAACAGTGTATAGCTGAAATCACAGAGATGATACACGTTAGTTGCTATACCTTTTGTTACCATCGTTTCTTAAGATCAGAGTTTTGAGATGTGCTTCTTGATTGAGATTATTGTGCTTACTCATTGTAGGTTGCGAGCCTTTTGCATGATGATGTCTTGGATGACGCAGATACAAGGCGCGGTATCGGTTCATTGAATCTTGTGATGGGAAACAAGGTAATGGGCAGATAATAGCTTCTTCTGTGGTCAGATCATTGAGTATCTTTGATAATTGTGTTGGAAACTGCCATTGAGATTTCACCCTCGTGAGTTTTGTTTTTCAGAGTTTCAGATACTTGTAATTAGTGACCTAATCAATGTATGTTTTTCCTGTTATTATTTATGCTGTTTAGTAGGGCTTCGGTTGCAGAGAAACTTATTCATGGAGATCTCCTGTTTTTGGCAATTTTAGACATCAACTCTATCATCAGAGCAGCTCCTTAGTTGAGGTTTGAACCTACCTGTCTCATCCCTTGGTTTTCTGTTCTCTACTCCAAAGCTTGAAACTTTGAGCTTCTAGGATTAGATTTCCGCTATACTTAAGCTGGACATGGGCTTTGACTCGATAAGAGTTATCCGTTCCATTGTCCTAATATCTGTTCTTATTTGTTTTATTAATCCTCGTACCGAATTGGTTGTCGTGCTTTGTTAGTATTCGTTGCTGAATTTGGTGAATCCTTCTTGGTTGTGTCATTCCATATTTGCTCATCTTTCTGCCCTTTACTGAAAGAGTGACTTTCCTTTTCCAGGAGGAGCTTGACCCGTTCTTGCTTGTTGCCGATGAGCTGTCCCTTCTCGGTAATAAATTGCGAGCAATGGTCGTTGCTGAGGTATTTACTTACTAATATTTCACACTTGGTATCTTTTGATTTGATTTAGTGTGTTCATGTCATGTGGGAATGGTTGAAGTAGGTTTGCCACTGGAATTGATGTTGAGTGAAGTTATACATCGATTTTGTTTCCAAATCTATCTTCTTCTGTCTAGGTTCCGATGCTTGCCTCTGCAGCCGAGTATTTCTTTAAAATGGGGGTTGAAGGAAAGCGCTTTCGTCCTACGGTAATGGCAATGATTCTTCCAAGTCTCTATCTGTGTCTTATCTTTTCATCGCACAATCTGAAATTCCATGTCTGGTTTCCCATCATTTCACTATTATTATCGTATATTTTGTATTATGGAGATAGCCTCTCTCCCATCCGAAGCTTCAGCTGTCTTCTCTCATGAGTTTTTTTTTTCCTGTATGTTTCAAATGAAAGAAACTTATTAGACATGTAATATTTTCAGGTCCTGCTGTTGATGGCAACTGCTCTAAATGTACGTTTACCAGATATACACGCATCAGAACTACGTGCAAGGCAACAGTGTATAGCTGAAATCACAGAGATGATACACGTTAGTTGCTATACCTTTTGTTACCATCGTTTCTTAAGATCAGAGTTTTGAGATGTGCTTCTTGATTGAGATTATTGTGCTTACTCATTGTAGGTTGCGAGCCTTTTGCATGATGATGTCTTGGATGACGCAGATACAAGGCGCGGTATCGGTTCATTGAATCTTGTGATGGGAAACAAGGTAATGGGCAGATAATAGCTTCTTCTGTGGTCAGATCATTGAGTATCTTTGATAATTGTGTTGGAAACTGCCATTGAGATTTCACCCTCGACTTAAATGATGTAGCTAGCTGTGTTAGCCGGAGACTTTTTGCTCTCCCGAGCTTGTGTGGCTCTTGCTTCTTTGAAAAATACCGAGGTACGCAGATTAATGGTCCCCTTAAATTTCCTTCAAACAGAAAAATTTTATCAAGGCCATTTCAAGAAATCATCTTTTCCAGAGCCAAGGCGAGAACTTTTTTACCGTGCAAGTCATCAATCTCGTTATTTCTTTGCGGCATAGGTTGTATCGTTGCTTGCAACAGTTGTTGAACATCTTGTTACGGGTGAAACGATGCAGATGAGTAGCACATCCGAGCAGCGTCACAGGTTCATCTTCTTCTCTCTTGCTTTATATATTATAGTCATAACCTATTGTTAGCTATGCTTATTCTGCATAATCTTTTCTGATATTTGAAATCTTTTTCACTGCTCGATTATAAACTTTCAATGCGAATGTTCGTGAGTGCAGTATGGACTACTATATGCAGAAGACGTATTACAAGACTGCATCTTTGATTTCGAATAGCTGCAAGGCCATTGCCCTTCTTGCGGGCCAAACGGCGGAAGTTGCCATTCTAGCTTTTGAGTACGGGAAAAATCTGGTTGGTTTACTTGACTGTATCCACAACTCCATTCTCGATCGCTACTTCCTTTGATCAGCTAAGTTTCTGTTTGCAGGGTTTGGCATACCAATTGATAGATGATGTCCTTGATTTCACAGGCACATCGACTTCTCTCGGGAAAGGATCTCTATCTGATATCCAACATGTAAAAACATATGCTCTGTTCTTTCGGACCCTCAACTTCGAAGACGAAAACTTCTCAGCTTTATCTTAATAACCATATAAAATCATGATACAGGGAATAATAACAGCTCCAATCCTCTTTGCAATGGAAGAATTCCCACAACTAATCGAAGTTGTTCATCAGGGATTTGACAATCCGAACAACGTTGACATTGTGAGTTCATACACAGTGTTGTTCTATTTGCTTTGTGGGTACTGAAAATTCACATCTTTGAACGATTTTGATGTATCCATATCGTTTTTCTGGATTCTTTTCGCCGATTTTGGAATGCCCATCTTTTATATTTTTGTAAATAGGCGCTGGAGTACCTCGGAAAGAGCAGGGGAATACAAAGGACGAGAGAGCTGGCCTTGGAGCACGCCAACCTCGCTGCTGTGGCTATCAGGTCGTTACCTGAAACCGACGATGAAGAGGTGAAAAGGTGTAGGCGTGCACTCATTGATCTCACCCATAGAGTCATCACCCGAAAAAAGTGACCAACTCTCTCTTCAGTCAGTTTCTCTTTATACCCGAGCTCTTTTGGCTTGCTACTTCGGCCGTTGATAGCAATGATGTGGTGGGAAAACTGCTTAAAATGAGTTTCATTCGATTCATTTAAGTGTGATACGTTTCGTTGAATAATTTGTTCAAGAATTAGCTTGTTTCATGTAGAACATGAGTTATGGAAGAAAGGAGGACACAGGGAATGTTCATTTGCAGGAAAGAAAAAAAAGCCAAACTTTTCATTTTGATCTTTTTTAATTCTTCTTAGATTGTTTACTCAAACCCTGACAGTCTCTAAACGGATGACAAACCAGAAGGGTCGGTCTGTATATTAGGGATTATACCGAAACCAGGAGGGCCTTGAACCGAGGATTGAGTCAGTGAACATGGCAAACATAACCAAAAACCGGAGCTTTTTCATGTGTTTAACTGATATCTCAAGCTTTGGTTAGCAGTTGATGTCGGATTTCTCGGGTATCAGTTATACGTACCTGAAGAATGGCGAAAACCCGTTTGGCCATGCCCCTCTCTGCTGCAACTTGTCTGGATGCAGACATAGCGGCGGAGCTTTCTGGTCTGCCTTCTTCACTTGTGATCCTTCTTGGCTTCTTCATAGAGTGTGGACGTTCCTTTTCTTGTTGATTATCTCAGTTCCGTTCAGACACTCAGTAACGGTTGTCCATATATATGTCTTTTTTGATACAATCCAAAAAAGAATAATAGGAAATTGACATAGATATATTTTTAAATCAAATATAAATTAATACCCACTTATAAAATAAGATTTCAAATTATAAAAAAAAAATTATTTACATTTTTTTTATAAATATGGTATTTTATCAAAAAGAAAATCCCATAAAAATATATTAATAAAATTTGGCATTAAAACCCTGGAGCCCTCGGGGAGTGGATACCTTAAATCCACTCGTCTTGTCTTTGTCGCTCTTCCTTTCTTTTTCCCTCTTCACGTCAAACATTTTCATGGCTGGACATGCGTCGTCATAAAACGATTTCAATGATTGATCAACTAATGATCTCAGGGAAGGAAAGAAGCCATGTCGGTTCCTTTTGTTGCTATTCGATCTGGGTTCTATTCAGATTCTGTAAATCTGCGAGCTTCTCGGGAATAGTGTTCAAGAGAGAAAGCCGATGTCATTTCGCGGAGGATTTTCCCGGATTTCCTCCAAGTTTCCGAGAAAACGAAGCTTCTTTTGCTACCCTTCTTTTATCGGTCCTCATCGGCACCTCCACGTGCCCGGACAAGATCATTCTCGTCCTGACTCAACACAGGAGGTAACTACTCATTCACCTTGTCTGGAAAGATCATCATGCGATTAGGGTATCTTCGATTTAGGATTGTTGTAGTTTTGATGTTGGGTTTTCAAGGGAATGGATTGGCATGGTTTATGTTCTGATTGGCCTCGTGAACTCACTGTAGAAAAATTTTATGTTTCTTTACCCAATAAAACAACAAGATGGAATGTGAAAAATGATGAAACTCTTAATGGTTAACGAGAGACATTCATCTCTGTTTCATTTGTCTCCAAAGGCTTTTTATAGCCTTTTTAATGGTAATGGCATGTATCTCACCAATTACCAATAATAGGTTCAATACTTACCAAATAAAATACAACAACAACATCGTCTTAATCCCAAGTTTATTTGAGATCGGCCGCATGAATCATTCTTTTCCATTCATTTCGGTTTTACGTCATATTCTCTGATATTTGCAAATAAAATAATCAAATTAAAACAAAAATAATGAAAAGGAAATCATATAAGATTATTCTAACAACTTCACCTCTAATCTTCATATTTCTCACCTTTTTTTCATTCTTTCAACGATCTATCATTCATGCTCCCACGGTAGAGTTTGAATAAGCATCAAAGTCCAACGTTTTGAAAGTGTCCCACGTTTCTTTTGGAGACACCGTTTCACCGAACTACGCTAAGACATTTCACTAATACATTGATAAATGATTCCAAATACCACCATCATTGCATTCTGAGGGTCTACGAACCTTTTCGATTGCACCACATACCACACAACGTAGTTTGTATTAGAGGGTGGCACTTCCCTCTAACAACGGTACACCTTCTTCATTTTTCTGGGTATACATGCATTCTTTGTCGTCGTTGGTAAAAGAGATTGCGGAGAGACGCTTTTTTCTTTCACCGGCACTCTTATCTCCATTGTAACAAACCAATCACCATTGTTGCCAATACCATCGTGGTCGATATTCCTTTCTTTCAATGGCACCCTCGTTTAGTTCGTCGTGACAAATTACCTGTGCTCCCTCTCATAGCACTTACTGAAGACTAATTTCAAGACATACGGTGCACCGAGGACTTGTTTTTTTTTCCGGAATCCATATGTATCTTTGAACCAGGGACTGATACCACATGTAGAAAAATTTTATGTTTCTTTCTCAAACAACAATAATATGGAATGTGAAAAATGATCAAAGAGAATGAAGCTTTTAATGGTTAACGAGATTATTCTAACATTTACAGGCTCCACGGGTTTCTCGGGCAGCAGATGTGATTATTGTTCTTGTACTTTTTTTTTTCAGAATGTTATAATTAGTGGCTCTAACCAATGTATGTTTTTCCTTTTATTATTTATGATGTTTTTTAGGAGAGCTTCGGTTTCAGAGGATCATATCCATGGAGATGTCCTGTTTTTGGTAATTTTAGACATCAACTCTATCGTGAGAGCAGCTCCTTAGTTGAGGTTTGAAATCTAATCTGTCTCTGTCTCATCTGCTTACCACATTCCTTAGTTTTCTTTCTCCTACTCTACAGCTTAAACTTCTAAGACTATTCTTAAGTTGGACATGCGCTTTGACTCGACAAGAGGTTGTCCTAATTTCCGTTCTCTCATTGTTTTGTTTTATCCTCATATCTATTTGTTACTGAATTTTGGTCAACCCTTCTTGGTTGTGTCATTCCATATTGCTCTTCATTCTGCCCTTTATTGTAAGAGTGAAACTTTCCTTTTCCAGGAGGAGGTTGACCCGTTCTTGCTTGTCGCTGATGAGCTGTCTCTTCTCGGTAATAACTTGCGAGCAATGGTTGTTGCTGAGGTATTTGCTCACTAATATTCCACATTTGGTATGTTTTGATTTGATTTATTGTGTTCATGGCAGTTGTGGATGCAGTTTTGCCGCTGGATTTGATGTTGAGTAAAGTTAGATTTGTTTTTTATATATCTTCTGCTGTCCAGGTTCCGGTGCTCGCCTCTTCAGCTGAGCATTTCTTTAAAATGGGGGTTGAAGAAAAACGCTTTCGTCCTACGGTAATGGCAATAATTCTTCAAGTCTCTATCTGTGTCTTATCTTTTCATCACGCAATCTGAAGCTAGCCTCTCTCCCATCCGAAGCTTCAGTAGTCTTCTCTCTGTATCTTTTCAAATTGGTGAAACTTATTAGGCATACAATGTTTTCAGGTCTTGCTGTTGATGGGAACTGCTCTAAATGTATGCTTACCAGAAGTATCAGTTTGTGAATCTGCAGATATACTGCGTGAAAGGCAACGATGTATAGCTGAAATCACAGAGATGATACATGTTAGTTGCTAGATTTATTTTCCTTGGATGTTGCTCTGAGCTATACCGTTTTACCATCGTTTCTTACAATTAGAGATGCTTCTTGATTGAGATTATTATTATGCTAACTCATTGTAGGTTGCTAGCCTTCTCCATGATGGTGTCTTGGATGATGCAGAAACAAGGCGCGGTGTTGGTTCATTGAATCTTGTAAAGGGAAACAAGGTATGGGCAGATAATAGGTTCCTTGTGGTCAGATCACTGAGTATCTTTGACAATTGTGCTGGAAACAGCTATTGAGATTTCACACTCGACTTAATGATGTAGCTAGCTGTATTAGCCGGAGACTTTTTGCTCTCTCGAGCTTGTGTGGCTCTCGCTTCCTTGGAAAATACAGAGGTAGGAAGAGTAATGGTCCCCTCAAATTTCCTTCAGGCAGTAAAATTTTATCGATACCCGTTCAAGAAGTCATCTTCTCCAGAGTCTCTGCCCTTCTTTCTATTTTTCTTAAGCGTACGTGTATGTTGATGGACAACTTAAACTTGAAGGCCGTTTCTCGAGATTCATCAGTGTCATCAACAGTACAAACGTTTTTACCCTGCAAGTCATGAATCATTATTTCTTTGTGCGTAGGTCGCATCGTTGCTTGCAATAGTTGTGGAACATCTTGTTACGGGTGAGACCATGCAGATGAGTAGCACATCCGAGCAGCGTCTCAGGTACATCTTCTTCTTCTCTTGCTTGATATAGTGATAACCTATTCTTACTTCGCCTTTAGCCTATGCCTATCCCTTAACAGATGAGCCCTTCGATTTCCTGTCTACAAAATATTTTTCTGAGTTTTCATTGCTCGATGGTATGTGCTCAATATAAACCCTTGATTCAGATATAAGAAAAAAAAGACCATGCAAATGTGTTTATTCGTGAGTGCAGTATGGATTACTATATGCAGAAGACGTATTATAAGACTGCATCGTTAATTTCACATAGCTGCAAGGCCATTGCCCTTCTTGCCGGGCAAACGGCAGAAGTTGCCATGCTAGCTTTTGAGTATGGGAAGAATCTGGTTCGTTAACTCGACTGTATCCACAACTCCATTCTCGATAGCTACTTCATTTTGATCAGCTAAGTTTCTGTTTTTTGCAGGGTTTGGCATACCAATTGATAGAGGATGTCCTTGCTTTCACAGGCACATCGACTTCTCTCCAGCATGTAAAAACATATGCTCTGTTCTTTCAGACCCTCAACTTCAAAGTCGAAAACTTCTCGGCCTCGTCATAATAACCATATATAATCGTGATGCAGGGGATCATAACAGCTCCAATCCTCTTTGCAATGGAAGAATTCCCGCAACTAATCGAAGTTGTTCATCAGGGATTTGACAATCCGAACAACGTTGACATTGTGAGTTCATACAGTGTTGTTCTATTTGCTTTGTGGGTACTGAAAATTCACATCTTTGAACGATTTTGATGTATCCATATCGTTTTTCTGGATTCTTTTCGCCGATTTTGAAATGCCCATCTTTTATATTTTTGTGAATAGGCGCTTGAGTACCTCGGAAAGAGCAGGGGAATACAAAGGACGAGAGAACTGGCTTTGGAGCACGCCAACCTTGCTGCTGTGGCTATTAGGTCGCTACCCGAAACCGATGATGAAGAGGTGAAAAGGTGTAGGCGTGCACTCATCGATCTCACCCATAGAGTCATCACCCGAAAAAAGTGACCAACTCTCTCTTCAGTCAGTTTCTCTTTTTACCCGAGCTCTTTTTGCTTGCTGCTTCGACCGTTGATAGCAATGATGTGGTGGGAACACTGCTTAAAATGAGTTTCATTAGATTCATTGAAGTGTGATTCGTTTCGTTGAATAATTTGTTCAAGAAGTAGTTTGTTTCATGTAGAACATGAGTTATGGAAGAAGGGAGAACACAGGGAATGTTCATCTGACTATTTTGCAGGAAAAAAAAAACTTTTCATTTGATCTTTTTTTATTCTTCTTACATTTTTTACTCAAACCCTGACAGTCTCTAAATCGATGAAAAACCAGAAGGATTGGTCTGTATATTAGGGTTTATACCCAAACCAGGAGGGCCTTGAACCGAGCAGTCTAGCTCGAGAACCCTTCTCTCGATACATTACGCAGCCCATGCATCCTGCAGGTTCCAGAATGGCTCGAGTCAGTGAGCATGGCAAACATAACCAAAAACCGGGCTTTTTCATATGGGTTTAATCGATATCTCGAGCTTTCATTAGCAGTTGATGTCGGATTTCTCGGGTTTTAGTTATGTGTACCTGAAGAACGGCGAAAACCCGATTGACGATGTACTTCTGAGGAGGCGATGCCCCTCTCTGCTGCAACTTGTTTGGATGCAGACATAGCCGAGCTTTCTTGTCTGCCTGCTTCACTTGTGATCCTTCTTGGCTTCTTCATAGAGTATGGGCATTGGTTTTCTTCTTGATTATCTCGGTTCAGTTCAGACACTCGGTAATTGTTGTCCTGTGATATGGTCTTGGAAGATATACAGGGAAAGCTTCGAGGGCCTCTGCATTTGGAAGTTTTTTGTTGTCTTTTCTTGGGGAATGTTGTGATTCGTTAAACTGTGAATAGCAAAACATGTTGCGGAGTTGAGAATATGATGTGGGAAGCTGAGTGTGTGTGGCCATTGGAACAGAGCTTAAGCCTTCAGTGGTTGGGATTCAGACATTGATTCTGTCTGAAGTCTGACCAAAAAAGAAAAGGTTGTCTTTGGAGTTAGTTAGAAGCAAAATTACTCATATCCTCGCAAAGTCGTCTTCTTGGATTCTCACTTTGTTTATAAACAGATATTATGTAAATGCTTTCTGCCAAAAAGTCGATGTATTGGAATCTATATATTTAGCTTCTTTTGTTTTTGGAAAAATCCTAAAAAAATATATAATTTTTTTAGTTTTCATAAAATAAAATCTAATTTTTTTTTATCAAATAAAATCTTAATTTCATTTTCAGTGAAAATAAACGTGAATTTTATATTTGTTGCCATTTTTAAACCTATATATTAAAATAACGTTCTGATATCCTATATGTTAAATCAGCGCGTTGATTATATTTGACATGTGACTGTACACATGTTATGATATTGATATACCAAGTAAGTGATGAGTTTAAAAATGATAAATATTATAAAATTTAGTTTATAATTTAAGAATTAATTTGAAGTTTTATTTGATAAAAAATAAAGTTTAGATTTTATTTTATGAAAATCGATAAGTTAAGATATTTTTTTGGAATTTGTTTTTTATTTTTGTGTGAAAACCGAAAATATATGACAATAAACAAAATTTATGTCATCGATAGATATGATCATATAATTTGATGTAATTATTTATTTGTCATAGCTCAAAAAATTGGAAATTAAAATAGATATGTTTTTAACAATATTTTTAATCAAATATAAAATAACAAAATAAAATAATACCCAACTATAAAATAAAACTAAGTTATAAAAAAAAATAAGACCTTACCGCTCATAAAAAAGGGCATTTCAAATTATAAAAAATTATTACATTTTTTTTTTTTATAAATATGGTATTTTATCAAAGAGAAAATCCACTTGTCTTTAAAACCCTCGAGCCCTCGGGCAGAGGAGACCTTAAACCCACTTGTCTTGCCTTGGTAGCTCCGAGAGGGAAAACAAGAATTCGAGTTCTTGTTTTCTTCGCATCAAACATTTTCATGGCTGACATTCGTCGTCGTCATAAAACGATTTCAATGGCTGATCAATTAATGATCTCGGGGAAAAAAGCAGTGCCGATTCCTTTTGTTGCTATTCGATCTGGGTTCCATTCAGATTCTGTAAATTTCCGAGCTTCTTCGGAGGGGTGATTGTTGGTGTTCAAGAGAGAAAACCGATGTCATTTCTCAGAGGATTTTCTCGGATTTCTTCCAAGTTTCCGAGAAAACGAAGCTTCTTCTGCTACCCTTCTTTTCTCGGTCCTCGTCCGCACCTCTACGTGCCCGGACAGGATCATTCTCGCTATGACTCTACAAAGGAGGTAACGAATCATTTATCTTGTCTGAAAACATCATCATTCGATTTGGGTTTTCAGGGAAATGGATTGGCATGGTTTATGTTCTGACTGGCCTCGTGAATTTACAGGCTCCGCGGTTTTCTCGGGCAGGAGATGCGATTGTTGTTCTTTTCCTTTTGTTTTTCAGAATGTTGTTGTAATTAGTGACCATAACCAATATATGTTTTTCCTGTTATTACTTATGATGTTTAGGAGGGCTTCAGTTTCAGAGGATCATATCCATGGAGATGTCCTGTTTCTGGTAATTTTAGACATCAACTCTATCGTGAGAGCAGCTCCTTAGTCGAGGTTTGAAATCTACCTGTCTCTGTCTCATCTGCTTGCCAGATTCCTTGGTTTTCTTTCTCCTACTCTACAGCTTAAACTGCAAAGACTATTCTTAAGTTGGACATGTGCTTTGACTCGACAAGAGGTGGTCCTAGTTTCGGTTCCCTCATTGTTTTGTTTTATCCTCATATCTATTTGTTGCTGAATTTGGTGGGGCCTTCCATATTGCACTTCACTCTGCCCTTTACTGAAAGAGTGAGACTTTCATTTTCCAGGAGGAGCTTGACCCGTTCTTGCTTGTCGCCGATGAGCTGTCTCTTCTCGGTAATAAATTGCGAGCGATGGTGGTTGCTGGGGTATTTACTTAGTTGTATTCCACCTTTGGTATCTTTTGGTTTCATTTAGTATGTTCATGTCATGTGGGAGCGGTGGAAGGAGGTTGCCAGTGGATTTGATGCTGAGAAAATCTATACACCGATTTTGTTTTTAAATCTATCTTCTGCTGTCTAGGTTCCAATGCTTGCCTCTGCAGCTGAGTATTTCTTTAAAATGGGGGTTGAAGAAAAACGCTTTCGTCCAACGGTAATGGCGATCATTCTTCAAATCTTTATATCTATGTCTTTGTCTTATCTTTTCATCACACAATCTGAAGCTAGCCTCCCTCCCATCCGAAGCTTCAGCAGTCTTCTCTCATGAGTTTTTGTCACAACTTTCAAATTGATGAAACTTATTAGGCATCTAATGTTTTCAGGTCTTGCTGTTGATGGGAAATTCTCTAAATGTACGCTTACCAGAAGTATCAGTTTGTGAATCTGCAGATATACCGGTATCAGAACTGCGTGAAAGGCAACGGTCTATAGCTGAAATCACAGAGATGATACATGTTAGCTGCCAGATTTATTTTCCTCGGATGTCGCTCTGAGCCATACCGTTTTACTATCTTTCTTACAATTAGATACGCTTCTTAATTGAGATTATTATTATGCTTACTCATTGTAGGTTGCGAGCCTTCTCCATGATGATGTCTTGGATGATGCAGATACAAGGCGCGGTGTTGGTTCATTGAATCTTGTGATGGGCAACAAGGTAATGGGCAGATGGTAGCTTCTTCTATGGTCAGATCACTGAATATCTTTGACAATTATGCTGGAAACAGCTATTGAGATTTCACCCTCGACTTACTGATGTAGCTGGCTGTATTAGCCGGTGATTTCTTCCTCTCCCGATCTTGGGTGGCTCTTGCTTCTTTGAAAAATACAGAGGTAAGAAGACTAATCGTCCCCTCAAATTTCCTTCGGGCAGTAAAATTTTATAGATACCCATTCAAGAAATCGTCTTTTCCAGATTCAAGGTAAAAACTTTTTTACCGTGTGAGTCATCAATCTCGTTATTTCTTTGTGGCATAGGTTGTGTCGTTGCTTGCAACAGTTATTGAACTTCTTGTTACGGGCGAGACAATGCAGATGAGTAGCACATCCGAGCAGCGTCACTGGTTCATCTTCTTCTCTCTTGCTTTATATATTATAGTCATAACCTATTGTTAGCTATGCCTATCCCTTAATAGATGAGCCCTTAGATTTCCTGTCTACAAAACATTTCTCTGAGTTTTGAAATAACTTCCATTGCTCGATGATATGTGCTCAATATAAACTCTTGATTCAGACACAAGAAAAAAAAAATGACCATGCAAATGTTTTGTTCGTGAGTTCAGTATGGACTACTATATGCAGAAGACATATTATAAGACTGCATCGTTAATTTCACATAGCTGCAAGGCCATTGCCCTTCTTGCCGGGCAAACAGCAGAAGTTGCCATGCTAGCTTTTGAGTACGGGAAGAATCTGGTTCGTTAACTCGACTGTATCCACAACTTCATTCTCGATAGCTACTTCATTTTGATCAGCTAAGTTTCTGTTTGCAGGGTTTGGCATACCAATTGATAGATGATGTCCTTGCTTTCACAGGCACATCGACTTCTCTCGGGAAAGGATCTCTATCTGACATCCAGCATGTAGAAACATATGCTCTGTTTTTTCAGACCCTCAACTTTGAAGTCGAAAACTTCTCGGCCTCGTCATAATAACCTTGTATAATCGTGATGCAGGGAATCATAACAGCTCCAATCCTCTTTGCAATGGAAGAATTCCCGCAACTAATCGAAGTTGTTCATCAGGGGTTTGACAATCCGAACAACGTTGACATTGTGAGTTCATACACAATGTTGTTCTATTGCTTTGTGGGTACTGAAAGTTCACATCTTTGGAAGATTTTGATGTACCCATATCGTTTTTCTGGATTCTTTTCGCCAATTTTGAAATGCCCATCTTTTATATTTTTGTAAATAGGTGCTCGAGTACCTCGGAAAGAGCAGGGGAATACAAAGAACGAGAGAGTTGGCCTTGGAGCACGTCAACCTTGCTGCTGTGGCTATCAGGTCGTTACCTGAAACCGACGATGAAGAGGTGAAAAGGTGTAGGCGTGCACTCATTGATCTCACCCATAGAGTCATCACCCGAAAAAAGTGACCAACTCTCTCTTCAGTCAGTTTCTCTTTATACCCGAACTCTTTTCGCTTGCTGCTTCGACCGTTGATAGCAATGATGTGGTGGGAACACTGTTTAAAATGAGTTTCATTCAATTCATTTAAGTGTGATCCATTTCGTTGAATAATTTGTTCAAGAAGCAGTTTGTTTCATGTAGAAATAGAACATGAGTTATGGAAGAAAGAAGAACACAGGGAATGTTCATCTGACTATTTTGCAGGAAAGAAAAAGCCAAACTTTTCATTTTGATATTTTTTTATTCTTCTTACATTGTTTACTCAAACCCGGACAGTCACTAAACCGATGACAAACCAGAAGGGTCGGTCTGTATATTACCAAAACCAGGAGGGCCTTGAACCGAGCAGTCTAGCTCGAGAACCCTTCTCTCGATACATATGCAGCCCATGCATCCTGCAGGTTCCAGAATGGCTCAAGTCAGTGAACATGGCAAACATAACCAAAAACTGGAGCTTTTTCATGTGGGTTTAACCAATATCTCGAGCTTTGGTTAGCAGTTGATGTCGGATTTCTCGGGTATAAGTTATATGTACCTGAAGAATGGCGAAAACCCGTTTGGCGATGTACTTCTGTGGTGGCGATGCCCCTCTCTGCTGCAACTTGTCTGGATGCAGACATAGCCGAGCTTTCTGATATGCTTTCTTAACTTGTGATCCTTCTTGCAGATTCATCAGAGGGATTGGGTACCATCCGCTCTCGGGCCAAAGAACCTGACAAACCCAACAACAGGCTATCATCGTATCAGAGGTTTCTTCATCGAATCAGCTTCTGTGTCGAGTTTTGTTTTTTGTATGCAGAGTTTTGTCTGTGAGCTTACATGGTGTAGAGTTGAGAGGAGGAGTTTGATGTCAGTTTCCTTCCCATTTAACCAATGTGTTATCTCTCTGTCCTTCTCCATCTCCATCTGCAGGTTTTCGTTTCAGAGTTTCTTGTCAGATTCTGACTCATTCACAAAAAACAACAAGTAGCAGTTTTTTACTGATTGTCGGAGAGAATCTCGCTTACTTGTTCGTCTGACTTCTCTTCCTCTTCGCCGATTCTCGAGTTGCTTTCCTCTTCTTCCTGAAGATCGATCACATTGCTTTCGGCTTTCAGAGTCCATGGGCATATGCTGCAGATGAAAAATTCTGAAAGAAAATGTCGGAAAATCTTACAGTTGTGGTCGATTTCAGAGTCGAAGTCCCGGAACTTCCTTCGTGAGATTGACACTCAGTTTCGATGATCTGAGGTTTTGTGTCGGGACGGAGAAATCTCTCTTTCGCCCAGGCGATGGCCTCGTCTATGTCGATCGAATCCGAACCTCCTCCTTCGCGGTAATGGTCGGAGTTTATCTCGATCACGTAAGAAGAGCTCATCGCTTCGTCGTCGTCTTCCTCTTCTTCTTCTTCTTCTTCTTCCATGGTGAAGCCACGTGTCCTCTGTTTCGGTTTGATCTCATCGCAGACAGAGGAGACAGGAGATGACGCAGGAGAGCTCGGTCCGTAATCGTCCATGGAGAGTTTGACGCTCCTGAAGGAGTTCGGGTCCAGGCTTATCGTCTCCGGCGAGGCTCTACGGGAACTCCCGTAGTAGAAATCTCCGTTTCCCGGTGTATTTTTATGGACGGAAAAGGAATCTCCGGCTTGTCCGTACGCCGGAATCCCATGTTTCTTCGCCTCCGGATTCTGTCCTGTTCCGCTGCTTCTCGACGGAACGTTCAACGGTCTGTAAGAAAACGAGAGACAGAACACGAAATGAGACTATATTACCCTGATCTGGTGTCCAATAAGTTGGGGCTTAGAGGAGGGCAATTTAGTAAATCTACCTGAGCCTAGAAGTGAAGGAAGACAGTGCCACATCATCGCCGGAGACCGCCGTCGCCGGCGGACGGAGAGGGCTGACGTCCTCGGAAGTGATCACCGAAGACGAATTCGACACCCACTTCGTCTGCGATCTCTCCCTCGTCGTCCTCTGGGCTCCGCCGGAAAACCCGAAAACGTCGCCGTAAAACCCATCTCCCCCGGCCGGAATCCGGAAAGCCGGGAGGCTCCGGCCGTGAGATTTGGAGGCGGGAGCCTTCCGGGAATATAACTCCGACGGCAGGAAAATCTCGTCGTAGAAGGAGCTGGAACGTGAGAAGTCGCCGGAGAATTTCCGGGTGAGAACGCTACGCGGCGGACCACCGAAAACGTCGGCGAAGTCGTCGGCATCCATGGCGGCGGAGGAGAAGGTCTGGTCAATGGATTTTCTGGCGGCGGAGAAGAAAGGGTCAAAGCCCATTCTCATACGCCAAGACTCGTCCATGTCGCCGGAAAATATTCCTCCGGTCACCGGAAAAAAGAAAGAAAGAAAGAATTCTCTGTTCAAAAAAGAGAGGAAGAGTTCAATATGGTACACTTAAACGTACATACACAGATATTATATATATATAGACAGATTATGGTATGTGTCTTTATACAAATTTGTAGGAACTCAAAAGCAAAAAAAAAAAAAAAAAAAAAAAGGGGAAAAAAAAAAAAAAAAGAAAAAAAAAAAACACAAAAAAAAAGAATAAAAAGGAAAGATATGGGGCAAGAGAAAACATTTTATAGGCTAAGTGACTTTTAGGGTTCTCATTTGGGATGTGTTTAGGACCGAAAACGTCGGCGAAGTCGTCGGCATCCATGGCGGCGGAGGAGAAGGTCTGGTCAATGGATTTTCTGGCGGCGGAGAAGAAAGGGTCAAAGCCCATTCTCATACGCCAAGACTCGTCCATGTCGCCGGAAAATATTCCTCCGGTCACCGGAAAAAAGAAAGAAAGAAAGAATTCTCTGTTCAAAAAAGAGAGGAAGAGTTCAATATGGTACACTTAAACGTACATACACAGATATTATATATATATAGACAGATTATGGTATGTGTCTTTATACAAATTTGTAGGAACTCAAAAGCAAAAAAAAAAAAAAAAAAAAAAAGGGGCATACAAAAGGGTAGTTCTTCATGTGCTGTAAGCTTTCAAACTTTTGTGTTTGGTCTGAAAAAATCTTAGATCTTTTTTTTTTTTTACTTTTATGTTCCATTATGTGAAATAAAATAAAATAAAAATTTTTTAAAAAAAGAAGGTGAAAATTCTAAAATTTGATATGTTATATAATTCATGTATGTGTGTATGTATTATATTATATATATTTAGAGATTTTTATAAAGTGGAAAGATTGGAAAAATTCTGTTGGCTGTTGGGTTTTTGAGTCCCACACTAAGACAGGATTTGATTGGTTTCCCTTTTATTTAGCTGTATATTTATTTCTCTTTTTTTCTTAATATTTTTTTTTACAATTTTCTTAATAATTTTTTTTTACAACTTCTCTTTACCTCGTCAAAATTTCACATATTTACTATCTGTTTAAAAACATTTTTTTTCTCCTTTTAATAATGAACCATTTCTCCTAATTGCCATTTTTTTTAGTTTTTCTCCCATTTGAAAAAGTCCAAATATGATTCTAACTTATTCATTCATTAAAATATTATTACATACCGTTTTAATACAATTTTGTAAACAATAGACCGGTTTATGGTTTCATTGATAGTTTATTGACTAATATTTTTTTATTATAGAAATTAGATGATAAATGTTAATAGAAAATTTAATATAATGTTTTACACATTAAGGGTTAAGGATTCAAAGTGACGTGGGTGAAAGAATGAAGGGGACAATGCACACTCTAATTTGATGTCACTAACACTATTCCCTACCAAACAAAAAAGCTTTCCAACACATTTTTAATCATTATTTCCCATTTTTATTTAAAAAAATTTAATTAATTTTATCATTTGGACCCACTCCATTACACAAAAAAGTGTACAAAAAATGTGTGAAGTGAAGCCAAGTGAATGAGGTGCCTTTTAGTAAATAAATACATGCTTAAAGTTAATTTCTTTGCAGTTTTGGGGGTTGTGATTAGGGTTGGGCGTTTCGGTTCGGTTCTTCGAAACCGGACCAAACCGAATCATTAAAACGGTATTTTTTCCGACCCGAAATCGCTGTTATTTTTCGAACGGTATCATTTTTAGAGAACCGAATTTTTCCGGAACCGAACCGAACCGAACCGAACTTTAAAAATCCCGAAAAACCGAATATTTTTAAAGGAAATCTATCATTCTTTTGATAAAACCCCGAACCGAACCGAACTGATACCGAAACCGAACCGAACCGAATACAATAAAAAACCCGATTGGTACCTATTTTTGTAAAACCAAAAGAACCGAACCGATCCATTCCGTCCCGAACCCGAACCGTTTCCCGAAACGCCCACCCCTAGTTTTGATTAGGTTATTTGGGTAATTGATTAGATTTACTATGAGGTAATAAATGAATTTCATTACCATTAATAACAGTCCCTAATGACTCTTCCTCTTAGGGCTATAATACAAAAAAGGGTACTGTTCATTGGAAATGATTGATAACTAATAGTTGTGATTCATAAATTATTTCAAAATCAATATTAGTAAATGATATTTGAGAGTATTATAGGTGGTTAAGTGTGAATGTTCATGTAATTAATGATTAGTGTTCGTCCGGTTATCACCGGTTTGTTAGTTGGTTATAGAAGAAGTTTTTTTAAAAGTTATAAATAATGTATTTTTATTCTTATGTCATATTAAATTAGAGAAAAAAAAATTGAAAACTACTTTCGATATTGATTCAAAATGAAATACAATTTAATTTAGGAAATATCACAAAAAATATGAATTTTTTAAATTTAATAAATAAATAAATAAAATTTAAATTTTATAGAAAAATACATAAATTTTAAAATTTAAAATATATGCTCTTTAAAAATTTTCGCATAAACCCATACAAAAACAAAAATATCGTTAGTATTTATTTGATTTTGTACAAAAAATTTCAATTTTTTAAATTTTTATACAAAATTAAAAATTCCTATTTATTTACCAAGTTCATATTTTTTCAACTATATTCCCTTTAATTTATCATTAAATACACTAATCACACGCAAATAAATCTAACACTCTCTAATACATAACAAATTAACAATATACGCAAGCATCCATTTTTATGTATACAACAAATCTACGTATTTCTACGATGGTTATACCTCTTGTTGCAAGCTGTAATACGTAATTTACCCGAAAAGGAAAGAATTAAGCCGAAAAAAAACGGATTAAAAATTAATTAAGTGAAGGATCAAAACTTGGTGGTTTAGAACATGAAACAGGGACATTACAGTTAAGTAGGCAGATCTAGGAGGTGGTGAAAGGGGACAACTTTAATTAATTAATTAATTAATTAATTAGTTAATTAATTAATATTTATAACATATGTTTTATTAAATTATGACAATGATGCCAAACATTCACAAAAGCATATAATATAACCACGAGATACAACACAATCATTCTGCTGTAGATTTGCTCCCCATAAAGCTTAAAAAAATTATATTTATATATATATATATAAAGAGAATATATATATATATATATAAAATTAAAAGAGTGATTATTAAGAAAATCCAAAAGAAAAACAACCCTTGAGCTCAAAGTTGGGAACTTCTTACAGCCAGTTCCAAGCGCTCGTGAGCTGTAATGACAATAGATTGTTTTTTTTTTGGTAATAATCTTTCTTTATTTATTGAAACATCCCACGGTTCATTCATCGTATCGAATCTTGGTTAGAGCAAGAATCTAATCATGGTATTTTCTTTAATATTATATTCGAATATTTGTCAAAGAAATGTACATTCCCTTTTGTTAGACATCCCACGGTGCACGAAATCGCATTCAAATCTCACCAAAAACATTGAATATAAATCATGGTTTTATGCCATAGTTTATGCATCTCCCTAATGCTTATCCAAGTTGGTGTACTCTTTCATCACGCTATGAACTATTATTTCACTATCAACGACCAATTTCACTGTCAACGACCGTGAGCAAGTAAGATTACGATTTTGTCACCAGAAAAAATATTTATTTTTTTTAAATTTTAATATTTTATATATACAAATTATATTTTTATTACATATTTAATTTATTTTGTTTTAAAAGTTTAATTTTTTTATTATATTTTAGATGTTTTAAAAATATTTTAAATATTAAAATTATTTTTAAATATTTTTCAATTAAAATTTTATTTTTAAAATTTATATATTTGGCTCGCGAGCCGGCTCGTCGTTTGGTTCGCGAATTTAGACGATCTTGCCTGGTTGACCTATTTTTGGCTCGCTAAAAAACGGGATGGACTGGGTTGGATTGAAAATTTTCCAGATCGGGACGGGCTGGGCCGGGCCAGCCCGCTTTACACCCCTACTACAGAGGGGCAAAACCGTCTTTTCAAAGATGGAGTGAATTGATGAACAATAGAGACTGCAGAGATCCTTGAGCAAACCAACCAGAAGATTGAAAATGATTCACAAAGCAGAAGGTTAGTGTGAATAAAACCAACAAGAAGGAAACAAACACAAGAAAGAGAATAGACAAGTCATAGAAGTGATCAAAGGTTAAAGCATATAGAGAGTAAGATCTCTCTCTCTCTCTCTCTCTCTCTCTCTCTCTCTCTCTCTCTCGAGGTAATGTATGAATGATGCAATAGAAGTCAGCTTCTTTACCCAAGAAGACAAACGAATAAACACAGAAAAGAGATAAAAAACGACAGGCTGAAGAGAGAAAGGGGGCACAATCAACTGAACCCATTGCAGAAGACAAATCTTATCTGAAACCCTTTTTGGGAGATTTGGAAATGAGGAAACTACATACCACCATGCATGGACCTTGAGGATATTATTAATGAGGGGCAAAGATTTTTCTTTCCTGACGAGAATCTGAACGACCCATTTCAGTAGATGTGCCTGGAATGAATCACCATACATACATGTGTGTAAAAGGAAACCAGTGTCAAGTGTTGCTCAGGCATAAAGCTGAAAGGTCCCATAAAGAAACAAATTCTTAGTACATATCATCTGAGGACTCAAGATTTGAAATCTGATCATTGATGGGTGAACCATAAAGCTCTTTCTTTTGCATAACCGGTAGCAAAACCGAATCTTTTCGGGGTTCTTACTCAACATTATGAATTTACTAGATTCAGACCACTGTGAACAAAACCAAGTTTTAATCCCACATCTGCCGCCCAGATGAAGCCTAATTCGAGAACGGTTTAGAGACATGCTTTCTTGATTTAGATGATGAGCTATACTATATATATCCACACTCGACACCAGAGTAGAAGAGAGAGAGATCAGATGTACATGATCATTGCAAGATTGGAATGAAGGTTTGGTCAAGAAGATGTAAATGAAGATTTAAATTCTAAATTCAAGATTTGGGGTTTGGAAGTTTCATTACCTGTAGAAAAACTCAGCCCAACCAACTGACTCCTTCACACTGTAACATTCCACGTAACGTCAAACAGAACCCAACACGGCTCACTCTGTCTGAACCTGAAGCTCCAATGGCCTTTTCACGGTATTGAAGAGCTCATAAAGCCCTAAAGATAACTGGCCAACAAGTTACCTACACAAAGACAATGACGGCACTTTTATTGTCAAACAAGTTAACAGAAAACGGGATTATAATGGCAACGACATCTGAACATTAGCAATAAACATCAGAGTATCACAAGATGAAAAATCATGGCAAGATTGTTACTGGACAATATCTTCTTTTAACCTTTTCGCAGGAGATTCTTGATATGAACAGTGGACGCTTTCACTATGAAGGTGTATGGAACTAAAGGACAAAACACTTATACCGTCACAAAAAGCTCCAGGGTAAAAACATCTGGCCAAGAAGTTCCCTATACAAAGACAATGACGGCACTTTTGTTGTCATCAACCAGCTAACAGAAAACGAGATTATAATGGCCCCGGCATCACAACATTACAAGAAACATCGGATTATATGACATTGACAAAAAAAAAATGGCAAGACTGTTACTGGACAATATCTTCTCTTACGTTTTCACAGGAGATCCTTGGAAAGAACACCTTGAGTATTCTGGTGTATGGAACTAAAAGACAAACACTTGTACTGTCACAAAAAGCTCATGAAGCCCGGGTAAAGATATCCAGCCAACAAGTTCTCTCTATACAAAGACAACGACTGCATTTTTGTTGCCATAACCAGCTAACAGACAATGGAAGCTCGCGAAGCCCGGGTAAAAATATCCAGCCAACAAGTTCTCTATGCAAAGACAACGACTGCACTTGTGTTGCCATCGACCAACTAAAAGACAATGGGATTATAATGGCCACAGCATCTGAACATTAGCAAGAACCAACAGATTATATAACCTAGATGAAAATCATGCCAAGACTTTTCTACTGGAGAATAAATTCTTTTACCTTTTCACAAGAGATTTTTGGAAGGAACACCTTGAGTATGATGTTGCATGGAAAAGGAAACGGCATGGAATGTGTGGTTCTTGCAGTCTCTCTGGAAGGCAACATGTTGAGATGGGAAGCTTGGTAGATTCCAAGAAGACAACTATTTGAAATTATTGAGGAAACATGAAATTTTTATTTGCACAATACAACAACAAAAGCACCACTTGAGGAAGAAGCGCTACTACAAGTAGACTTTGCTTTCTCAACAAAAGCTAAAATGTCTTGTTCTCTGCAATGTCAAGAAGCAGCCAAAAGCAGTGTTATCATGGAAAAGAAATATGACAAGAACCCCCAAATTCTTCAGACTCACACAAAAAGAGGTCTATTTCTGATAATTGATAATATAACTTTCTTTTTTGTTGGAAAGTTGAAAATACAATTTCTACTGTATTCAGATAAAATTTTTAGGTCTTCTTGGTATTACGATCAGGCCCTGCAATTTAAATTAGATCCGAACTTTTTATTCCGTTGTGCTTCTATCGTAAACTTAAACGGAGAATCATCATGGGCTATAAAGAAATAACCCTTCAGAATATGTCAAAACGATCAAACACATACACTTAAGCATTAAACTCTACCCATTGTAATAGTAGTATAGCTAAACATTTCTAATATTAAGCGAAATAAAAACAGAGAGCACCAGGATTTTACAAGAATGGCTTAAACTTAAACTTAGTAGACAGTAGACTGTCGAGTGTCACACAATGGAGAAACCTCTAGAGTGAGAAGAAAAGCAGGTGTCGGATATAACATGCAGTTACCAGGCAAACAAGAAACAGTTTACCAGATGTGTCAAACTGATTTCCTCTAGCCAAGGACCTAAAACAGAGAAGAACAAAATCCATCATAGAGCAAGACATGTGTTGTTTACCATGAACCTTTGAGGCATTAGTGAGGCAGCTGGGCATAAATTACCTTTGGTTTATCTTTATTGACTTCCAAATTGGAATGAAAGCATATGAAGCCGGTTCACATGCTAACAAACTCTCCTTGCTTGAAACCTCAATTTGGTTTTCCAAAATGCTTATGGTTACAGAAATGAATTAGCAAATCGGTAAAGGTATTTACTTGCTCACGGACTTTTCTGTTAGCCGGGGTGAAATACGACCACGCTCAACCAAACGTATCATTAGGTCATCTGCCTCCTTGACCTTTCCTTCCATCATCAATCTCTTGCTTATCTTCTCACAGAACTTGGCATCAGGTATTAAATTGCGGTTAAACATCCGACACGTCACGTTGTATGCTGACAGAGCAACACCCTTTTTGAGATAGCCTTCCATGAGCACATAACATGTCTTAGCATCAGAAGTTGAAGCTGTCCGAAGAACTTTTCCCAAGAGCTTGTCTGCCTCCTCAAGCTTTCCTAAAGCACAAAGCTTTTCAATAACTTGATTATATGCTGTTCTGCATTTCTGCCTCAACATCATTTTCTCCAATAATTTTAACAGATCACCAACCTTGTCCATTTGGCAATATCTATGAATGACAGTTCTGTATGTAACAGGAGTGGGATCCAATCCCTTGTGAAGCATCTGCTTCATAAGCTCTGTTGCCTCTGCTATTCTACCTTTTCTTCCCAATGCATCAACTAATGTAGTATAAGTGATGACATCCGCATGTTTGTTGATCAGGTACATGTCATCTAGTACAGAAAGAGCAGCGTCCAGCTCATCCTTTTGGCAAAAACCATGAATCACAGTAGTGAAATTTACAACATTAACAGCACAACCTTTGTTCAGACACTCTTCCAAGAATTTTCTGGCCTCGTGTGTTCTCCCATCCCGGCAGAGACTCTGAATCAATAAGTTGATTTCAACTGGTGTCGGGAAAAACCCTTTTTTAACCATCTCTCTTAGCACATCACAGGCCTCAGATAATTTCCCCTCCCTGCGTAACCCATGCATAATAACGCTATAAGTAATAGCATTTGGAATCCACCATTGCTCTTCGCTCATGTTCATCATTTGCCTTGCCTCGGTAGATTTTCCAGTTCGGCACATCCCATTTAACACGGCCGTGTAAGACACAGTATTTGGCTTGTGTCCATGTTTGCGCATAACATGAAGCAACTTTTTGGCTTTGTCCACCTCACCAAGACGACAGAACCCATTAACAACAGCAGTGTAAGTTACTACATCAGGAGAACAACCTTTTGACAGCATCTCACTAATAATATCCTTTGCCTCACACATCCTACCCTCCTTGCAAAACGAATGAACTATAGCACTATAACCCACCTTATCAATCCGAAACCCTTTCTCCTCAGCTTCCCTGAGAAACTGAAGAGCATCGTCTGCATTGCCATATTTCGTGAGTATATGAATTACAGTATTATATGTGACCTGATCTGGCACCAAATTATGTTCTGTCACCATTTTATCCATCAATTTCCTCACTTCAAAAACCCTCTTTTCCTTGCAAAGAAAACCCATGATGGTATAGTAACTAACTTTATCCGGAGAACATCCTTTACTAAGCATTTCATCCATTAGCTCCATTGCACCGTCAACTCGGTGCACGTCACAGTACCCTCTGATCAAGCTGTTATAAGTCACGACATCTGGCGTTATACCGATTACACGCATACGTTCTGAGAAACGTAAAGCTTTCTCCAACCTATTCGCTCTGACCAAAACATCAATAGCCGTATTACAGATTAACAAATCTGGTTCAACTCCTGCTCTCTGCATAAGGGTCAACACTCTTAACGCATCCCTTACTTTACCTGCCCTGCTGTATGACACCATCACACAGGAAAATGCTTCCGGGCATCGGTATATACCTCTCTTCTTCATTAGACGAAGAACCCTTCGTGCTCCCTGACACAACTTAGTCTTACCAAGAATCTCAAGCACTGCATAGTATACAACAGGATCATGGCGATACCTCCATTGACGATCAGCCCAGTAGAAGAATTTCAGAGCAACCCTTTCATCATCCTGAGAGCGCAAAACAGCACAGACTTGCAGAGGTTTGAGGCTCCTTAGAAGGTTTCTCATTTGAGCTTCGAGATTAGGGTTCCAACTCGATCTGAGGTCAATCAATCTGCATATCTCTCGCACCAATGGATGCTTAGATTCATCATTTTCTTCGAGCAGAACTCTGCTAACGTCTTCCCGCGATACCGGATGGGTTTTCGTAAACGATTCCAGAGTAGCAAAATCATCATCTTCTTCTTCTTCGCCATTGCTTTCGTCTTCTTCATCGTCCGCTTCATCACTTTCTCCCAACTCATCAACCTCGTCAAATCCAGTAAACCTAGGGTTACGAGAACTATAAAATTCAGCTTCATTCACGCTCGAAGTCCGCGAATTTCCCAAACCCAATTGCCCAAATCCTCCAAATCGATCATCGTTCCGACAATCATGCCCTCCTTGATCAAAACTGGGACTTTGCGAAGAAGATGTAGAGGAACATGCATCAACTTCAAAATGAGAAAATCTGCAAACTGAATCTAGAATTGAAGGTCGACGAAGAAGCCGATTTCTCCATAAATTCAACATTGATTGAACAAATCAACAAGAAGAAATCTAGAATCGCTCCTCACTTAGGGTTTTAGCTAACAGTTGTAAACTCTCTTGTTCCCGTTTAAAATTGGACTGTTATGGTTTTATTTAGATACCAATTTTTTTAATATAAAAATTTTTACAAAACATTTTAGAAAAAAAAAATCGGTTCAAAATTATAATAAGGCATTTTTTTATATTATAATACAGAATTTAGTTATCCATTATTAAAAAAATGAATTTCTATGCCATTTCTCTTCTTCCTTTGAGTAAAAAAGTTTCATAAATCCAATAGCTTGAAGAAAGCATTTGAAAATAATTTGAAAACCCAAAAATAATTTTGTAACGACAATGAAAATTGGACCGTTATGTCTATTTATATAAAGATTAGAGTTTTATAATATATAGGTTGGTGGTATTTTATTAGTCAACAGAAATTCAAATAAAACAGTGGCTACATAAAAAAAAAACTCAATTGTTAAAATCAATAGTAAATCTAAAAAAATCTATTATACAATTTTAAACATTAATATATGATGAATTTGTAATAAAAAATATGTAACAATAATATAATTCACTATTTTGTTTTGCAGAAAAATCATATTTTAGTTGGGGTCTTATTCTGTGTTTAAATGCAAAATATAATAAACACGTGAGTGAAATTCATTCAATAGATTCGGTCACGTGCCTGACACCGTCCACAGAATATTCCGTTAAAACTCTGCTTAGCCTTGATTTATTATATTAATTAATCTCTCTCTCTCTCTCTTGTCGCCGATTTCATTCTCTCACCTCCGAACTCCGGTCAGTCTCCGAGATCTCGCCATCGCCGGAATAATCCGAGGACATACATAGAATCGAGAGAGGGAGATGATGATGGAACGTCAGGATCTGAGGAAGAATGGCGATGTCGTCGCCGATTGTCGTGGATCGGCTCTGATCTTCCTCGGGACCGGCTGTTCGAGCGCTGTCCCCAATGCTATGTGCTTGATCCAGCCGTCGGATCCTCCTTGTCGCGTCTGTTCGCAGTCGCTGTCTCTCCCGCCGGAGCGAAATCCTAATTACAGGTTACGTACTTGTTATGTTCCTCTTCCGAAGTTTTTTCCCTTGTTGCATCGCCATTGGAGACCTCAATTTCGGTGTTCTTCGATGTAATCGTGTATCGGAGTTGTTGATTGTGAGGCAATGTAATGCTCGGTCTCCTTTGATTCTATGCCGCTGGGGAAATCTCGTGAATTGAAATTTTTACCGTTTGATATGGATTGGCTTCGATTTCCGTCGGATGAAATTAGGGTTTTTCATTGCTCGGTGGCAACAACATGGAGGATCATCTCCTGTTTTAGTTAGAAGAAGTCAGAGCTTCATCTGAGAACTGGGTTCATCAAGTGTTTGGATCATGAGGAATGTCTTGTTAGCATGTGTAACACATTCAGCTAGTCTGGTTTTTGTTTTCCAGTCTGATTCATGATTTTGCTGAATGCTGAATAAAATCATCTTTAGGTTTGTGTTGCGTTTTGATCAATCAACACATGATCCATCATAGAGCTGTTTTTGTTCTCATTGCAAGTGATAATGTCCTTTCCACAGGGGAAATACATCACTGCTCATTGATTATTGCCAGACTGATGGAAAACATAAGTATATCCAAATCGACGTTGGGAAGACATTCAGGGAACAAGTTCTACGTTGGTTTACCTTTCACAAGATTCCAAGAGTTGATTCTGTAAGCTTTGATGTGGTCATTTTATTTCTTCACAACCAGCCTGTTTGATGACTCATCTCTTCTTTGTTTATTTCCATAGGCCAATTTGTTCTTCATGTTAACTGTGGGCAGATACAGGACAAATCTGAGATTTTTTAGATTTGCTAACTCTTTTTCTATGGTGACGATAGACAGAATGTGGCCTTCAGTCATTCTCTGCTAGTATTGTGAATCATGAACTTGTTATCTTAACTGTGAGTTGGACTTACCGGGAAGAATTAATGTACTGTTAAGCTAACTTTTTGTAGGCTGAGATCCATCTTCTCCATGCCTATGTCTTTAATTCCTAGGGGCAAGAGGTTAATTGTGCAGGAAAGGCAAATTTAGTATAAGGCCATCGAATTTGGACTTTAGGCATCCTTTTTGCTGTCTGTCGTATAAATCTTCTTGAAATTTGGATGTACAGGATAGACATCGTTTGAATTTTTAATCTTGACTCTCAATTCTGTGAATTTCGTGGCTGGATCTGAAGCTTTGATGCATATTAGGACTAATTTTTGCATAAATTGCAGATAATTTTGACTCATGAACATGCTGATGCGGTTCTTGGCCTCGATGACATACGTGCGGTGCAGCCGTTTAGTCCTACTAATGATATAGATCCCACTCCAATTTACTTAACCCAAATTGCTATGGACAGGTATATTTCGGTGCATCTTTGTTTGCTTGGTATGTGGCCTTGGATGTTGTTGTCTTCGTTGCAACTTGACCTCTACGCACTGGTTTTGACGTTCACATGCTTTTTTTGCTATGCTTTCCTGAAACAGCCTTGCCGTGAAATTCCCGTACTTGGTCCAGAAAAAGCTTAAAGAAGGTCAAGAAGTTAGGCGAGTGGCACAACTGGATTGGCGAGTAATTGAGGAGAGTTGCGAAAAGCCATTTGTTGCTTCGGGCTTGTCATTCACCCCATTGCCAGTTAGTCACATCTCATCTCCATGCCAGTGGTGAATCATCTCTCACTGCTAATTTGTGTAGAGCCTCTGTAATATTGCTTACATTTTGGCTCCAGGTGATGCATGGAGAAGATTATATCTGTCTTGGTTTTCTTTTCGGTGAAAAATCGAGAGTGGCTTATATCTCTGATGTATCACGCTTTCCTTCAAGCACCGAGTATTGTGAGATCCTGAACTTATCATGTTTCCTGCTTCGTGTTATGTCCTTAGCTGCATGGGTCTCATTCTTGATCATTTGGACTTGCAGTTATTTCAAAAACTGGTGGTGGGCAATTGGATCTCCTTATCTTGGATACACTATACAAGGTTATTATTATGCTTCTCCCTTAAAACATTTCACCCATTTTGTACTATTTCCTATTATTTGCCGATTCATGAAATTATCTCGTCGAAACGAATCTTTAGGCCTTAAACCATTAACTTCGATGTTCTGTGAGTTGATGTTCCTTCGTCCTGTTTTTTCATCTTTTTCTTTGCATGGACTGCAGACAGGATCACATAATACTCACTTATGTTTCCCACAGGTTTCTTCTACTACTTTCCTGTCTTTTTTTCTCTACCGTTGATAAAGGCCCGAGTCTTTACACCTTATTTGTTTTCACTTTTGTTGTTTCCCGGCAGACACTCGAAACAATCAGGAGACTTTGCCCGAAAAGTGCTCTTCTAATCGGAATGACTCACGAGTTTGAACACCACAAGGACAACGAGTTTCTAAAAGAATGGTCTACAAGGTAAGAAAAAGAAAATCCAATTGAGACACCCCTAATTCATCCATCTGAAATTCAAGCAAATGACATTTTACGGAATTCTCTTCCCGTTTTCCGCTATCAGGGAAGGGATTCCAGTGCAACTCGCACACGATGGCTTGAGAGTCCCGATAGACCTATGACGCAAGATGAGGTAAAAACTAATCTATCGCCTTTGCACAAACTATGAATCGCATGTTACTATCCGAATGCATTAATGATAATAATGTATGGCTTAAATCAAAGTTTAGGTACCATTGTACCGGGTTATCTTTTCTGGCGACAGTAACTAAGTTCGATTCGATTCTCCTGATTCATTGTACACACAGGCCGAATATCGTATCCTAGACATTTGAACGATCGATACGAGATGATTTAATCGCGGGTTTTTTTTTTTTTGCAAGGCTCGACTCGGGTTCACTTGTGTGGGATCCATATAGGGTTATATGGTTTTTTTTATCATGAGACAAGTCTGATACTACTTCAAAGAAACAGAGAGAAGATGACATTGATCATTTTGGAACTTAACCCTTTCTATTTTATTATTATCATTTTTTTTTCTGAAATAATATAAACTTGTGTTGAAATCATAATTTTCCCATGTTATATATTTAATGATTCAGCCGTACAGATTGCAGGACAATCAGCTACAAATACCAACTACTTTATAGAGGAGGGAGGGCAAATGCACCATAGGCTGTTGGGTGGTAGGGTAAGGTTCTGAACTGTGTTTCTCTTCCACATGATGGAAAAGAACACAACACCAGAAGAAGAAAAAAAACCTAATTTGGATTCTGTCTGAAAGATTTGGCCAAAAAAAAAGAAGAAATCTTCTGATGAGTTGTTATTCTCCAAAGAAGTTTCTGTTTCTTTCAAAAGGTCCTCAACAAACCCATCATTGCCTCCCAAAATATAAATAAAAAAAAAGGAAAGTGAGAAGCTAATCTAACTAATATACTATAAAGTTTTTTATTTTTTGTTTTTGGGTGATGGGTCCAAAGGCATTATGGGGTCTGAATTGGACCACTAAAGTTTCAAAAGATTGTAGAAAATTTTGTACATTTTGTTGTGGACCCACTTTAGTTAGAAAGATTTTGTCACCATTTCTACTCTTGTAGCTCTAGTCAAACTCATGTATTTGAACAAAATTCCCTTCACACCTACATATACACATATGCTTTCACTATATATTAGTGATGCAAAACGGGTTGGCTCGGATCCGAACGGGTTGGTTCTGATTTAAAGTAGCTCTTTTTTGGTCCAATTCACTGCGGTCTATTTTTTACGAGTTATAAAAACTCTGATTCGGTTTAGATCATCCGACTCGCAAATCAAATAAAAATAAAAATAAAAATTTAAAATTGATAAAGTTCTTAAAAAGGTATTCTAAGAAAGCTTTTTATTTTCTGTCTCACGACAAGTCCGATTCATGGCAAACAAACTTGTTCAGTCCATTTTTTTCGGGCTCTGAATTCATCTAAAAAAAATATGAATTGATTCGCGAAACAAACTCATACTGATATCACTAATACATACATATATATATATATATAAAACTTAGCATGATGGATCATAAATATTACCTTGCAATGCTTGTATGTAGCATAGCATGATTTAAATGCTTAGGAAATGTAGGTGTCCAAGTCAACTAGCTTGTCAACCTATTCTATTTTGATTTTGCATGTGTGAAAAGAAAATATTTTCAGAAAGTGTGTGCGAGAAAATGGATCGTCTTTTTTTTACTACGATGTAAATGTTAGTGTAGGTGATGGCACCCTTTTTGAAATCTTGGAAGCCATATGCAAAAAACGTGGATTTTCCCATCTGCTTAGAGATTGTATTATAATTTTTTATTTTTATTTTTTGTAGAATCTTTGATTTTTATTTTCCTTTATACAGTTAGTATTATGTTATAATAATTTCAAAATCAATTTTGTTTACTTTTTCCCACTAACAAAACGCTCGTTATTTACATGCATGCAAATGAATTTTCACTGGATAAGTTGATTCTTCTGTTCGAAATGCATCAAAGTTTAACTTTAATAAAATAAAATAATAATAATAATAATGATTCGGACCAATTAAATTGTGTCTACAACGATATAATCATATTAGCAAAAGGTTGAGAAAAACAATATAAAACTATTGAGAAAATATAATTCACCGACCAATAATATAGAGTAGGTAAATTATAAATGTACATCACAATCGCACAAATATTTAAACACAAAAAAAAAATGGACGTCCATATATCCTATAAATGAGAATTAAATACCAAATCTGAATTGTTATGGAAGACGGGAATTTCAGAATGCGATTTATGTGGACCCAATATGATTGATTATACAAAACAAAAAACTAATCTTCAAATACATATATATATATATATATACATACACATTATATGTATATGTATTTATGGACTCGAAAGGTGACAAAAGGAACACTCCATGTGCATGCAGTCCAACTCACATAAACCCCATAATAATCACCTCTAATGACTTTTTTATTATGACCAACAAAAAAATCATACTTTTTTTTTCCTAATTTTATATTTACTTATTGGCTTAAATATTTTTCTATTTTCTGTGGTGGAAATAATTTCGATTTCCCAATACAAAAAGCGCTTTAAATATGAAAAAGTATTTAGTGAAAAACGTAAATATGAAAATTATTTTTTTAGAATTATGTTGAGAAAAAAGTTACCAAAACTAGAGGAATCTAGCTTGAACCTCGCAATACGTGCCATTCTTTTGCATTGATGCAATTTTGCAATAATTAAAGACCTAAACGTTTACATAGTACGCTATATTTTTTTTCAATATATATTACTTTCATTGGTTGATTAATTTTCGTACACAAATTTACATATTATAATATTCCTTATTTTAAGATTTTAAAATATTTTTTATTGTTATTATAAACCATAAAATGTTTTAGATATTAGTATATGGTAGGGATGGATATTTCGGTATAATTCTTATAAATTGAATAAAAAAATCGATATTATTTTTGAATCGACCCGTCTAAAATTTTTAAACAATATTTTTTAGAAAATCAAATTTTCTGATATTGAATCAAAACAAACCAAATTTTAATAATCTAAAGAATCAATTTTTTTTAAAAAATATATTTTTTCTTAAAAAATAAAAATCAAACCAAATTAAACCGAACATAATATAATAACCTATTCGTATATATTTTTATAGAACCGAAAATACCAACCTTACTATATGATTACATTATATAAAACAAAAGTTTTTTTACTCATTTTTTAGCAACATGTAACGGCGTTCTAGGTGGCATGGGTTTGCTTCGCTACATCATAGGGCGCAAACTCCGGTGTGAGTGCAAAGTTTTGAAGTTCATTATATATATATATATATATGCTATTCTTTAAAATTTTAAAACTCGTAAAAAAGAATTAACCAAACCAAATAAAAATTGAATGAAAATATCAAAATGTCGATGATCATGTGAATAATGTGTAATGGAAATTCATTTTTAACAAAAAAAAATATGAGAGATGAGAGAGAGAGAGAGTCAACGGTCAAAGAGACAGAGAAACTAATGACTTAAAAAGGATGAGATGTCAGTTGGATCGCTTTGCTTGCTTTTGCGCTCCGGTTTCTGAATTTCCTCATCATTTAATCTGCATTTTTTGAAAATTGGTAAAAAACAAAATCTCTTTAAATGACATTATACAGTGTATCCACACCCCTAATTTAATTTGTTTTTTGAGGGATTTTCTTAGAAGAAAAATATATTAAATATCACATCCACCACAAAATTATATATATATATATAAATGAATTTGTTCTTGAAAATAAAAGGATATTTAATTTCATCATTTTATGTTGCAGACTTGCAGTATCTACCAATTGTACTTTCAACCTTACCGGAAGCCAGTACACAATTATTTTTTTTTCTCACTTTATTAATTCCGACAGACGTCAGTATCATTATTTTTAATATATATATATATATATAATAAATTTGTAAAAATAGTGACATATATTCTAGAATTTGGTTATATTTTAATTTGTATAACAAAATTTATATATATATATATATAGATATTAGATTTTGATTCAATATTGTATGATATAATTTTGACATTTATTAAAAGATGTTTAGTTTTTTTAAAATGTTTTCATTTTTTTTTATTTTTGTCAGTGTTAGTTTAAATTTGATTAATTTAATTTAAAAGTTGGTTTGAGAAATTTATTTATTATGAATCGAATTTGATTTTATATATCAGATTAAAGATATTCATCTCAATATATTACCATGTGGGAAGAAAAAAAAGCTATGGATAACATGAAAGAAGAAGAGCCATTGAACTAACATACGTTACAATTTTGAATTACAAAAATACATAACATAGTATTTTCATTCAATTTTCTAAATATCTCTTTTGGAATATAAGATTTTGGTGTTTGAAAATTACAAAAATTAATAATAATAATAATAATAATAATAATAATAATAATAATAATAATAATAATAATAATAATAATAATAGTAATAATAATAATAATAATAATAATAATAATAATAATAATAATAATAATAATAATAATAATAATAATAATAATAATAATAATAATAATAATAATAATAATAATAATAATAATAATAATAGTAATAATAATAATAAGTGGAATAAGTGAAACTTACCCATCCATCACTAGGAAAATATTTCAATTTTTTTTTACTTCAGGAGACAGTACTAAACGATGTCGATTTTGTGGTGAATAAGAAAAGTAAATATGGGACTGAGGAAAAGAAAAAATAAAGTTTGGGGGTGAAAAAAGAAAAAGTAAAAACACTGCCGTTTCGGTCGACAAAACCCGTGCGACGTCTGCTGTCAAGGACAAAACGATGGTCTGTTCTAACTGCGGTCGCACAGGACATTCGGCGGAGTCGTGTTTTCAAATCCTGGGCTATCCGGAGTGGTGGGGTGATCGTCCTCGGAATCGTACAAATCGTGGTCGTGGTGGTTCCTCTAGCTCTCGTGGCCGTGGAGTGGCTCGTTCGAACGCAGTCTCAGCTGCCCCTGCTGCGTCTTCTCCGGTGATCCTCGACTCTGACAAACCCCCTGTAAGTGGTCTTAGCAACGAACAGTGGCAAACATTGGTCTCGCTCCTCAATGCCGGAAAAATCGGAGCTACGGAGACTATTTCTGGTATGTGCTCTAATGTCCCTTGGATACTCGACACTGGTGCCTCTCACCACATGACCGGATGTCCTGAGTTGTTGACGAACTTGTCTCCGATGACATCGTCGAGCATCATTCTTCCTGATGGCCGACAATCGTTCGCTTCTCAGTCCGGCTCCGTATTTTTGACAGCGCATCTTCATTTGTCGAATGTGTATCTTGTCGAGGGATTACATGTTAATCTCATCTCCGTCTCTCAACTATTGGACGATCGTGATTGTATAATACAGTTCACTAACCGAATGTGTGTTATTCAGGACCTACGTACGAGGACGCTGATTGGAGCGGGTGAACTCCGAGACGGGCTCTACTTTTTCCGCGGCGTTGACACTGTGGCGGCCGTTGGTTCTTGTGACAAAGTTCCTTTAGACGTGTGGCATCAGCGGTTAGGCCATCCTTCGTTCAAGATAGTAGAGCAAGTTGTCGGAGATGATTGTCGTTCGCATAGTGATTTTTCGGTTGATTCTTGTGATATTTGTTTTCGAGCCAAACAGACTCGTTCTTCGTTTCCATTGAGTTCAAATAAAGCAAGCGAGATTTTTCAGCTAGTACATTGCGATTTATGGGGCCCTTATCGCACACCGGCACATTGCGGTGCTAAATATTTTCTCACCATTGTTGACGACTACTCGCGCGGTGTTTGGCTCTACCTCTTGTCTGATAAGAGCCAGGTTTCACGTCATCTTATTGAGTTCATGGCAATGGTTGATCGACAGTTCAATACGAGAGTTCGTGCAGTTCGTTCTGACAACGGAACCGAGTTTACTTGCATGCGTGACTATTTCTGCAGCCATGGGATAGTGCATGAGACTTCTTGTGTGGATACCCCACAACAAAATGGACGCGCTGAACGGAAGCATCGTCATATTCTGAACGTGGCTCGGGCACTTCTTTTTCAGGGTTGTTTTCCGATCGAGTTTTGGGGAGACTGTGTGCTGACCGCCGGGTTCCTTATCAATCGGACTCCTTCTTCTGTTCTGTCCGGGCGAACGCCGTTCGAAATTATCCATGGGCGCAAACCAGATTATTCTCACCTTCGCACATTGGGTTGTTTATGCTATGCTCACAACAAAGATCATAAAGGCGACAAGTTTTCTTCTCGAAGCATTCGCTGCGCGTTTGTCGGCTACCCGTTTGGCAAGAAAGGATGGCGTCTATATGACCTGGAGAAGAAACATTTTTTTATTTCACGTGACGTCGCCTTCTGCGAAGACCGGTTCCCCTTCGCTGACCCTGTTCCTCTCCAGCAATCCTCTTCGGAAAATCCTGCTCCGGTTTCGTGGCCTGTGTTACTTGAGGAGGACGATATCCCACCTCGCTTGACATCGTTTGCACCATCATCTATTGATCCCTCTTCTACTTCTTCTTCGGCAGATTCCGCGACCAAGCATTCTGATACACCGGCAAATACTCTCCCAGTCGAGGTTTCGAACGATAGGGGGGGCCGTTCCGTTGTCTCCAATATCGCAAACCATGTTCCTGTAGACACAGACGACTTAGGCCGAGGGAAACGTGCCAAGTTCCCTTCCACACGTCTTAAGGACCATGTCATAATAATAATAATAATAATAATAATAATAATAATAATAATAATAATAATAATAATAATAATAGTAATAATAATAATAAGTGGAATAAGTGAAACTTACCCATCCATCACTAGGAAAATATTTCAATTTTTTTTTACTTCAGGAGACAGTACTAAACGATGTCGATTTTGTGGTGAATAAGAAAAGTAAATATGGGACTGAGGAAAAGAAAAAATAAAGTTTGGGGGTGAAAAAAGAAAAAGTAAAAAAAAAAAAAAGTGAATTTTTGGGGAGTGAAGATGATGACGTGGCAGGATCAGAGCGGAGTTGATGTTGGACCGGCGTGAACAAAGAGCTCCCCCTCCATGACTCTCTCCCTCCTCTCCCATTTTCCTTCCGCCAAAAAAAAAAAACTCCAAACTTTTTTTTTTTGTTCACTCATTCTCCATAAATCTCTCTCTATCTCTCTCTTCGGGTGATTGTGTTGAAACTTCGATAGATATCTCTCAATCTATCTGTGTGTACGTATATACATATATACACAGAGAGAGAGAGAGAGAGATTGCACAGAGAGAGAGAGAGGGAGGGAGAGATCTGCAATGGAGTACGAGAGGATAGAGAAGGTTCAGGTAAAAAAACCCACAAGAACCCAACACTGTTCTCGTGTTCATCTTTTACTTCTCTGTTCTGTCCTTGTTATTACAGTGTTTTCTCCATGTTTTCTCCTTTGTCTGTTCCTCTGTTTTCTTGTCTCGTGGAAATCATCGACCGTTGATTTCAGTTCGTCACTGTAAAGGTAGGCTTCAACTTTAACAATGAACGCCCTTTATTACAAAAAAAAAGTTTTTTTTTTACTGGGCGTGTCTTGTTCAAGAATTTCTGCTCAAAGATCGAAACTTTTAAGTTCAATTCCTGCAATTCATCTGCAGAAAGTTTCGTCCTTTTTTTACTAACCTCGGTAATTTTCTGTTAATTCGATGTGGAATTCGATGATTCTGTAAGATTCGATTGTTCAAATCCAAAGATTTTCTTCCAGGTTCGAGAAGATTCGGTCCTAAAGCTGTCACCCTTTAGGGTTCTTAGTTTCGATTGCTCTGATTTCCGGCATTGATTTTGCAGCAGAAGGGCATAATCTCGCCCACGAAGCTGCGAATGAAGCTGATGGGTCCTCACCATAACAGGAAGAAAGAAGGATCCAACGGTAATTCCTCGAGGACTTCTCCTTCGCGGCTCGATGTTCCAGAGGACGCTGAATTGGCCAAGAACAGCTTATTAGCCTCAAGTTCCGATGATACCCGCCACGGTTCGTCGAATTCTGCCCATTTGTTGTTGATTCCAATCGAAATCCGAGTTTCTGTAATGGAAAGTTTGATCATTTCTCGTGATGGGTTTGATCTTTTTTTAGTTCCAGACATGACTGAAGTTTGGTGTTTTTAGTTCCAGTTGCGGTTTCGAATGCGGATGTCGGGGAAGTGAACCTGCCGAGTGAGCCGGAGTCGGGCCAGCATTGCGGCGGGGGAGCCCGAGAGATGGATCGGACGAGATTCCAGCAATTCCGGAAGGGCGATTTGAGCATTGTTCACCCGATGAGACAGCTGGAGGAAGAGAATCTCGATTATGACAGCAATGCTAGCTCGTCGAGTTTCGAGTTTCCCGATGGCGGCGAACGTTCCAACAGAAATCCCGTCCCGGTGTCTTACCCGAGACAGATACCGTCCAAGTGGAATGATGCCGAGAAGTGGATAATGAACCGACAGAATGTGGCGAAGAAGAATGGATCTTTATGTGGACAGGGAAACCGGTTGCCAGTAAGAGTCGCCCCCGAGAATGCAGGTTTCGAGCATAACAACCCGAGGGCAGCTGCGGGCCCCGAGAAGTTCCCGTCGCTTTCCTTCATGTCGGGAAATCAGCCCGCACATAGCAAAAATCTCGGCGAGACGAAGAATTCATCACATGATACAACAGCAGGTATACTATGTACTTCTGGTATATATAACACTAAAGGAGATCCTTACGTTTTGTCGACAAATCGGAGGCTCGATCCGAACATAATAATGTCTTACTTTCCGCAAATTTTTTCCCGGCAGCTGGCCCGACAGTGCGTTCGGTCTGCATGAGAGACATGGGAACCGAAATGACACCTGTAGCGAGTCAAGAACCTTCGAGAACTGCAACACCCGTCGGGGCAGTAACCCCTCTCCGCAGCCCAAATTCTTCTCTTCCGTCGACTCCCCGAGCCATGGGCCAAGAAGAGCCGTCGTCGTCTTTGTCGCAAGACCCGTCGGGGAGCGGGAAAAAGGAACTGTCGGAGCAAGAAATCAAGGTGAGGACGAGAAGAGAGATAGTAGCTCTCGGGGTTAAGCTAGGGAAGATGAACATTGCGGCTTGGGCGAGTAAAGAAGACGGGCAGAATGATAACAATAACCCGGATTCCATCAGGAAAGAACCGAATGTCGAGGAGGTTCAGAGGATCGAGTATGAAAAACGGGCTGCCTCGTGGGAAGAAGCCGAGAAATCGAAGCATACTGCAAGGTTCATATGCTCCATTGAACTGAATAGCTCTCTATAGCTCCTTTGCTTGTTCAAGCGTTCGGTAAATGAACAAGAATTAAGGTTTAATTCTCGTGTTTTCGATCTGAAATTTTAGGTATAAGCGCGAGGAAATCAAGATTCAAGCATGGGAGAGTCAGCAGAAAGCGAAACTCGAGGCAGAAATGCGGCGGATAGAGGTAAGATTAGATAAGAGCATCGATCACGATTTTCTGATGTGACGACAATAGTCGGGTATTCGGGGTGCATGGGTGCTGGGTACCCGAGATTTCCGGTGTACCCTACCTCAGCCTCACCCCTTCGGTTTCTCGGTTAGAGTACCTTATCTCGGCCTTGTGAGAATGCTTCGGGCACCCGCGGCAAAGTCACAATGGCCCGACGGGGTGAGCAACGACGAGTGTCGAGAATTTCTCGCCGGTTAAGAAAAGAGGGGGCAAGATTATGAGAAGGGAGAAAAGCGACGGTGATTCTAGAGGTGATTGTGAAGGGTAGACACGAGGCGAGCTAAGTTAAAGAACCCTAGTTGTAAAACGAAACCCTAATTCCGCCTCATCCTAGGCAATGCAATTGTGGATCTCGCCCCCTCGAAACCCTAATTTTGCCTCTCGCCCTCACAGTCTCGTCGCGGCGCTCTTTCCCCTCAGCACAGATTCATGACCGCTACACCCTGAAATCATACTCGCTGTGTGGCTCATATTCCCATATTTTGGGTACCGTGAGTTCCACGGGATTCGGGTACCCGCAACTTTGTACTCGGTGATCGCAACACATGACATGATATACGGTTGCGTAAATATTGTGCAGGCGAAAGTCGAGCAGATGAAAGCTCAAGCAGAAGCGAAGATGGTGAAGAAAATCGCGATGGCGAGACAAAGGTCCGAAGAGAAGCACGCTGCTGCGGAAGCAAGGAAGGCCCGAGACGCCGAGATGGCAGCAGCTCAAGCTGAGTATATCCGCCAAACCGGCCGAATTCCGGCTTCCGGTTACATGTGCTGTGGTTGGTTCTCATGAGATTGATGTGTTGTCTGAAAAAAAAAAACAGCTTCTGTGTTCTGAGATCCTTGTAATATATATATATAAAAAAAGAGACCATTGTGTTTTTTTGCAAAGCTTTGAAGCAAAAAAAGGAAGCTTGTGTCTCAAGTTAGGGTTTCTGGTTTCTTCCGTAAGGTACAAGCTAACTGTGCATGCAACATCATCGTCATCACTCATCACAGTAGCGAGAGAGTAGAGAAACCCTAAACCGAAAACCGTAGCTTTTAGTAGTCGAAAGAGCTGCCGGCCACCGAGGCAATACCGTTGCCAGGATTTCTCGGGTCATGCGTGTTCCCGAAATCTTCGCAGTTGCCGTTCGTAAGCTTCTTCCGAACGGATGGCTCGGAGCTGAGAGGCTTGAGCCCTCGTTTCCCCATTTCTTGCACTTCTTGTGGCGAAAGTATCTTGATGCACCATACGCTGTTCAAGAACTCCCTGCAGAACCACGAAAAAAAATGGCAGAACGAATGTGATTAGTCGGGAATCGGGAATAACGGGGATAGTTAAGTTGGGAATTACAGCCAAGGGTCATCGCCGAGGAGAAGGACGTCGTTTTCTCGGTCGACGAATACAAGCTGCCAGCCTGATCTCATAGGATCCTCTAATTGGCCTTCAAGGCCGAACATCCGAGCCAACGAGCTTCTCAGCTCGTTGTAGCTACTGTATCTCGATATATCCAGCGATCTTCCGAAGGATCCCGACTTGTATACCTTCCACGAGAAGTAAAACCCGTAACGAATGCTCGGCATATATATGAAACAAGCACAGAAAACGGAGCGAAATCAAGAAAGCAGTTTTACCTTAACAAAGGTTGGGGATTGCGGGTTTTCGAATCCGACGTTTTCCGAAGACTGCGGAAAACCCGATCCATCTATAGACGAGAAATCATTTATGCTCTCGATGCCGATTCCGCTTTGCATCAGAAGAGACGAGGAGTCGATATTGACTCCGAACAGTAGATGGCTATGTAGATCGGCGTTTCCTTCTTGCTCGATCGAGCATTCCCGACCAGGGAACGGAGGCAATGAGACAGAACCCGACGAGACATTACTTTCCTGCGATTGTCCTAACTGCTCCGATCCCAAGGGTAGGAAAGATGAATCAACAACTGCAGCACACTTCAACGGCCAACCGGAAGAAGCCATTGCCAGGGATTCATTCTCTGGAAAGTCACCCAAAAGAGTATGGAACGGAGAAATCGCTGAGCCCATCATCGGATTATTCCCGAGCGAGTCTGAGAACGGCGTAGTGGACGGAAGTGGTGACGCGAGGGACTGAGAGGCGGAAACAAATTCAGACATCAGAGACAAAGGAGAAGAACCAGTGGCTTGTCCCCGAGAGTGAGGTTGTTGGTTTTCCGGCATGCTCGGAAACGTCTGATGAGATAGTCGGTGCTGCGGAATCCGAGGTTGTAATAAAGACACGGGTCTCGTCGAGAAGCTTGAAGGCTCGAGGGCTTTGGAAGGAGGATCAATGCCTCTCATGTCTTGGAAAGCTGCTGCAGCCATGGCTTGATAAAGGTCATTTCCTGTACCGAGCAAGCCCGGAGGATCGAGCCTCGCATGCATCCACGGGTTTACTCCGAAACCCGGAAAGTTTAGAGATTGGAGTCCACGATTGCATGAGCTCATACCTGAATCATCCACGTCTTTCAGACCTATACAGGGACACAAAACAATGAATACATATCTCGGGTGGCAAATCGAGCAAGTAAAAATCGGAACTTTGAGGGATACGGATTCATTTACCATGGAAAGACGAAAGCCCGGGAGGAGGCCACGGACGTTTAAGCCGAAGATGGAACGGAGAAGGGTACATCGGAAACGTTGTCAAAGGCTCGATCTCCCACAAAGAAACCCTAGGTTGTCTCTCACCCGCAGTGGATTCATCCCAGCCAACCTGCATTGATCATTTCAATATACGAACCCGAAAACTCGCGCGTAATAATAACACGAAAACCAGTTTCGGTTTTGGACTTAAACCTTGACAGACCGCCACTGAGAATTTGGCCAACGGACAGGATCCATGTCGCTTATTCCAGTTACCGTGCCCATGTACCTGAAGCATCATCTTCCACAGGATATTCAATCGCGAAATAGAACACGAAAACGAAAAGAAAAAAAAAGGCGGGAACTTTTGACGAGATTGCGTACCGACGAACACTTGAATCTTCGGTTTCGAACATCATCCTAAACCGCATGCCAACCGAGACTCGAGCGTGGTATACAGCTTTAACATACTTGGCCAGTGGTATCACGAATTCAGCCGGGCTTGCCCTGAATTCGTTCAGATTCGATTCTAAGAACGCAACTAATTGTAAACACGACAACAGGCACGGAAAAATGAATCGGTACCTCGGGTTATAGAAGATGGTGAAACGGCTATTCGTGGAAGATGCATGGGCGGCAGCGGCAAGAAGGCCCAAATGCATACTGTCACTTGACAAAACCAATGAAGGCATAATGGTCTGAGGCTGGTTGGCACGTCTTATACCGAGGAGTAGCTGATTCTTATCGTTCCTGATATCCGAGATTCGGATTTATCATAAAGATCGACATATCGAGATGGGTAAAACAGATTGAAAATCTGCAAAACTAACCAGATGAAAAGCACTGAATCACCGGCCACGAGCCTTTTAGCGCTGACGAAAATGCTCCATCCGGTGGTAAGAAGATGCCTCTTGGGCTGACCTGAAAAAACTTCATTATCACTTTGGTTTTCCAATTCTGAAACTACAGAGACACAGCTCGGGTTCTTGCAAGAATCTGACCTCGGAAGATATGTCGGAATTTCCATTCGTTATCGTGCAGATCCCTCGCGATCAGCTCCCGAGCCGGAGGCTGTTGTGTGTAGTCCTGAAGGGAAAAGCATATAACACTAGCGAAAATGAAAAGATATGAATAAATTTATAAGATTTCTGAATTCTGATTTCAGATGAGGAAGAAGATTTACTACCAGTGGAGGTAAAACTTTCTCGGCGGCCCGACGAGGAACGGAAAACCCGCCATGAGTACTTGTATCACTTGCAGTCAAGGTTTTACAGAAATAGTTTGTCGGCTGTCTACTCGGTGAACCTAATTCCACTGGAAAGTAAGGATCTTTTTGCTCTTGCTGCAAAAAAACCCGAAAAGAAAAACAAGATATTCTCATTTCCAGACCCAAAAACAAGATTCAACCATTTCTTTCCTGCCCTGGACACGACATTTTCGAAGAAATCTGGTACCGGGTTTAGCGGCTGCAGAGTCATCTGTGCATAGACCTCATCGGTCTCCACATCCGCCTGAGAAAAAATCGAACAGAAGTCGGAATTCGACGAGAGGAAAACCCACGGAACGAATCAAAGAAACGGGATTCTTACATGCATGGTGACATTGTGAAGCTGACAGATGAGTTGTGGCTGCAAGCTCGGGTAGTTTGGCATTTGAGCATCTGCTTCCTTGTTCGTCGAAGCAGCAACCTAAAGAATCATAAAAAAAGCTTAAAACTTTGAATCGCCCATTATGGTAAAAACAAGCCATGATCATAATTCAGACTGCTAAAACAAGATTCAGACCTGTTCGCTATGTCCCTGTGGAAAATAAACGACCCGGCTTCCGACAGGAGGTAATGAAACAAGAGGACCCGCACAAGCATGCCAAAGCTCAGAATTAAGAACCCTTTTCTCTCCTGCATATTATGGTTCGGACACAGATGACAAATCTCCATGAAACTCATGTAAAGTTTGAACCTTTTCAACACAATCCGCTGCTCGGAACTGATAACGTAAGAAATTAGGCTCTACGTTTCTGCTGACACGTGAAAATTTGGGAAATTTCCTTTTGTTTCGCCAGTAACTAACTTATCAATCAAGAGATTAAGAATCCACTGAAAGGAAAAGAGAGAGAGAGAGAGAGAGAAAGAGAGAGAGAGAGAGAGAGAGAGAGAGAGAGAGAGAGATACCTTCATCTGCTTGAGGATTGAAACTGGAAGAAGACCATCTCATTTTGCCAGATACGGAAATTACTCCAACGTTTTGTTCTTCAAAGATACGAAATTTAAAGATCCCCAAAACAGTTAATCACCACAACGAGAATCCAAAAACCCTAAAACCAGATTTCTCCCAGAGAGGTGGGAAAAACCCATCAACCAAAACCGGATGTGCAGCAGAACAAAACCGCTTTCAGCCTCATAAGCTCGCAATCTTCTTCATGAACAGTTTCACCGGTTTTTTTCCATTAAAGACCGGCCCTTTTTTTAGGTTTCACCAGACAACCATCAAAGCTCACGAGTCAAGAAACACAGATCTCGCTAGCTTCCTCGTCCGACCAGATTTTACCTCAGGAAGATGAAACAAAGAGATCTTTCGAGCTGTCTCGTAGTTTTAATGCTTTTATGATGACTCAAGGTCCAAGGAAACGATGAATGCGAGATTGGGCAGCGAGAAGAACATATGGGCATGCATGGTTAAACTGTGTCAGAACATGGGTACACAAGGGAAAACGCAAAAGACCAGATTCAGACCGAGAAAGAGACAGTTCTATAAATAAAAAAAACCCAAAAAAAATATCAAAGAGATTCAGCTCCTCGAGCCTTTCTCCGGTACGAATACGACTGAGAAGTCGCTGGAGATTGTAGTGACGACGACGACCATGTTGCTGCTACAAAAGCTGCTCAAGCTTCTACTCTCTCTCTCTCTCTCTCTCTCTCTCTCGGCACTCTGTTTTATTTGACTGAAAGCGACAACAATGGCTGTTTCCGACCCGGACCCAGAAACGGGTCGGGTCTTAATTTTGCTGCAATTTGATATCCAGGAAGGGAAACTATATATATTTACAATTATACCCCTACTCTTCGCTTTTACCACTTTTTTATACCACAAACTTTTAAAATTCAATGCGTCGATGTAAAAATTGATTATTGAATAATAATAATAATATATGTGATTAATATATTATTTAAATATTTACGTTAGTCCGTGGGTATATATATTTAATACGACGTACCACAAACATCTGTCACTAATCTTTACAACATTTAACAGAATTTTAGAGATGTTTGAGTTTGATCATTTGCCACAAAACAGAACAGTAGATGTAATTAATTTACGAATTATATTTCATGTAAAAATCTTTAGGTTTTATACGTATAATAGAGTTATTTGTGACAAATGTACATGCAATGAATATGTCAAGATTATTTAAAGAATAAAATCGAGAATCTTATGCTTTTGTATTAAAGAGCCATTACACTTTTGGCTATATTATTATTATTATTATTATTATTATTATTATTATTATTATTATTATTTTCCTTGTTTGATAGCATGAAAATGAAAAGTGTATGAATGTAAATAATTCAGCATAGATAACGAAATCACCTGAGGAAAATGACATGACGTACTTTAAGATTTTTAGGGTTTCGGATTTGATGTCTTTTTCTTTGTTTTCAAAAAATGTTTTTATTTTTTGGATAATTATTTTTAAAAAGATAAATAAATATCACGACGTGTGTGGATTACAATCTTTGGAATTTGCATGTGGAGGAAGGCAAACTCCGAAAAAGGGAATAACTCCCTGATTATATGACGTTTTTTATTATAATATTTTTGTTTTAAAATAAATGATTTTTTGAAATTTTTCATGTAATTTTTAATATTTTCTATATTTATTCCAAATGAATAATATTTAAATTTTTTATATATTTAGAAATAACAATCCCTAAACCCTAAACCCTAAACCTATTTAGGTAAAACCCCTAAAAAACCTCCAACTTACAAAAATATATACAAATAAATCTTCAACTTGAAAAACTATCATTCAATCCCCGAACTTGTAACTTGTCACTGAATAAAACTTCGAACTTGCAAATTATTGCTCTAATAAACCTTTGACCGGTTTGACCATAATTTCAAACGATCGGAAATCTACGTATTGACGGATTGTTGATGTCAATAATTTGCAAGTTCGAGGTTTTATTCAGTGACAAGTTACAAGTTTGGGGATTGAATGATAGTTTTTCAAGTTGAAGGTTTATTTGTATATATTTTAAGTTGGAGGTTTTTTCATGATAAATAAGGATATTTTGGACAAATCATTATTTTTTTGAATTTGTGTGTTCATCTAAAATGAAACGGATGAAGTATTTTTTGATGATAAGATATTAAGATTGATCAATAAAAAAAATGAGTTGTAAATTGTAAATTCGATCATTTCTAGTTGAAAACAGTCGAAGAAATTATGGGGGTCGACAAATAGTAGATGCATAATTAATTAATTAGGACTCCGTATTTTGGCTTTTTTAATCTTGATTCAGTTATTTTATTTTCAGTATCGTTATTATTTAATAAAAAACATTTTCACTAATTTTATATCAAGCTCATCTTCTTTTTATTTCATATTATATCAAGCCAATTGGGTGATTTAAAAATATACTTTCTCTTCCCAAACTTGAAGTTCGAATTTGGGGCGGGACATACGTTTTGCATAGCCTTTTATCGATTGATTCTATCCAAATTTGGGTTATAAATATCTTCTTAACTTACAATATGTTATAATACGAATGTTTTCTTATTAAATTTGACAAAATTCAAACATCAAAATAATCGGATCGAATTTGAATCCAAAATCTAAACTCTATCCATATTTTGATGTAACGACGCATGCCTGAAAATCTTTTTTCATTAAAAACGGCTTTCATGGATCTTTACCATTCATATTATGCGTTTCCAATTTAAATACATGAAAAATTGTTATGTGAAGTGCAATGCAACATTGTGTTTTTAATGAATTTCACATTTCGGGGAAAAAAAAAAGACTTCTAAATTGTGGTTTTAGGATCTGACTTATTTCCAATATAAAATATTAGGGAATATCCCAAAATAATATCTGAACTTCTCAATTTTGACAAAATAAAATCTGAATTTTGTTTTTTATCAAATAAAATCTGAACTTTATAATCTTTGTCATTTTTAACCCTATTGTTGACGTGGCGTTCCGACATCCTACGTGGCAAGTCAACATTTTGACCGTATTTGACACATCATCGTCCACGTGTCACGATATCGGAATGCCACGTCAGCAACATGGTTAAAAATGATAAAGATTATAAAGTTCAGATTTATTTTTGACTAAAAAATGAAGTTCAGTTTTTATTTGATAAAAAACAAAGTTTAGGTTTTATTTTGTCAAAATTGAAAAGTTCAGGTATTATTTTGGGATTTTCCCAAAATGTTATATAAACTTCAAAAAAAAAAAGAATCGCAACATATCATTGAAGGGTTAATCCCACAAAAAACTCCAAATTTGTTAAAATATTCCATATAAAACCCTGAACTTGTAATCTCTCACAAAAAACCCTGAATTTAGTAAAAACTTTCACAAAAATTACAAACTTACATATTTCTTCCATATAAAACCTTTGACTTGTTTGACAAAAAATTTTGATGACGTGGTACGACAGATTACTAACATGGCGCTGACTGAGTTAACATGTCAACGCCACACCATCATTTTAAAAATTTAAATATAAATTTCTAATTTTTGGTCATATATATATATATATATATATTAAGTTTGTAATTTAAAATTTTAAATACACAAATATATATACCTATATACAAACATACATATATATTTTTATCAAATATACATATATATATACCTATATACATACATACATATATATATTTTTTTATCAAATATCTATATATATATACCTATATATATACATACATATATATATTTTTTTATCAAATATCTGTACATATATATATATATATTTGTTCATATATATTTTTATCAAATATTTAAATTTTTGAAATGATGACGTGACGTTGACGTGTCAACCCAGTCAGCGCCATGTCAGTAATCCATCGTGCCACATCAACAAAAATTTTGGTCAAACAAATCAAAGGTTTTACATGGAAGAAAATCATAAGTTTATAATTTTTGTGGAAGTTTTTACCAAATTCACAGTTTTTTGTAGAAGATTGTAAGTTCAGGGTTTTATATGGAACATTTTAACAAGTTTGGGGTTTTTTTGTGGGATTAACCCTATCATTAAATATTTTATATATATATATATATATATATATTGTGTGTGTGGTTTCACCGAGATTCTCGTTTCTCTTTTGCCACAACATAGAGAACTGAAATCTTACCAAAAATACAAACATTGGGAATGAATGTTAGGACGTGGCATTGCCAATGCCATTCAAAATTATATATAATATGTGCATTGCATAGATTCATTTATTTATTCACTTATCTATTTGTCCAAGGAATCCCATTAAATATAATCATAAATAGTACATATTTTCAGCAACTTACATAAATTATATATATATATATACACACACTGCACACACACGCGCGCATATATATAATCATTATGCTTGGAAAATTATAACGTATTAAGGAAAGGGAAAATGATAAAGATTAAAAAAGAAAAAGAAAAAACCAAAGTTTATGTTATCTTTTAGGGAAAATTCCAAAAAAATTATCGAACTTGGAGATAGCTGACATATTAATATCGAACTTTTCCAACTTCCAAATTAAATATGAACTCGTCGATTTTCACACAAAAAATATTGAATTTGTAAATCTTTGACAAAAACCTCATCGACGTTAAACGGTGTTAAATCGACCAACGGTTGAGCTGACGTGGCAGATGACTCAACGCCTCGTCATCCGCCACGTCATCCGTCACGTCAGAAAAATATTTTTAGAATAAAAAATAAAAAATATTAAATAATAAAAAGAAAAATAATAAAAAAATTTAAAATTAAAATTTTAAAAACAAAATTTTAAATAAAAATAAAAAACTAAAATTTAAAATTCAAATTTAAAATTTAAAATTCAAATTTAAAATAAAAAATAAAAAATAAAAACAAAAAGAGACCATTGTGTTTAATATATATATATATATAGTTGTGTATATATTTTATATTTTTTTATATCTATTTATATACATAAATATATATATACATATATATATATATGAATTTGTGAATGTAAGTATATATATGTTTATGTATATATGCTTATATATAACATTAAATATTAAATTTGTATATATATATATATGTATATATATATACATAAACATATTTAATTTTTAAGATTATATATATGTCTATATATATTGCACATAAATTGTATATTTTTTAATTTTAAATTTTTATGTTTAAATTTTTATTTTAAATTTTAAATTTCATTTTTTATTTTATTTTTTTCTTTCTCTTTTTAATTTTTATTATTTTTTATTTTATTTTTTAATTATAATTCGAATTATTTTTATTTTTTTAAGAAAATGTTTATCTGACGTGGCGGATGACGAGATGTTGAGTCATCCACCACGTCAGCTCGACCGTTGGTCGATTTAACGCCGTTTAACGTCGATGAGGTTTTTCTCAAAGATTTACAAGTTCAATATTTTTTGTGTCAAAATCGACGAGTTCATACTTAATTTGAAAGTTGGAAAAGTTCGATATTAATATGTCAGCTATCTCTAAATTCGATAATTTTTTTGGGATTTTCCCTATCTTTTAATAAATGGGAAGTGAAAAAGCAAAACCCTAATAAGAGAGAAAGGACCCATTCATGCATGTCCCCTCCAAGAGACGGTCATGGCCCATCTCACATTCACATGTGCACGTCCCTGTTTTATGTTTTCTGATGTGATTATTTGTATGTTTTATGTCAATGGTTATTTTAAAATGTTTTTCTACCTTCGTTTTTTTATACATTGTATATATCTATATAAGATAATATCTTCATGACACTTGTCCATTTATGGTCAGTGGAACTGTGAAAGCTGTCTTGTAATATAACATTTTATTTATTTATTTATAAAAAGGGCATCACGCAATCATGCATTTCATTCAATTCGACCCCATACATTGACCATAGATACTTATGTATAAACATATACGTATACATATACAGCAAAACACACACATATATATACACGCATGTGCGTACACAAGAATGGAACCCTAGAAACTAGAAGCATGCAACCAAAGTTATAGCATAGGATAGGTACATGAACGTACTTAGTTCATGTTTGCAACACACATATGCACACATGCTGACGTCACTTCTCACCTTCCATAATCTCCCTTTTTTTTCTGAATATAAACTTTTTATGAATTATTAATTGGATGTATGTGCAACTTAATAATAATGTGATTCCAAATGACAAAGAATCGAATTAATATAATTTAGAGTTTTTAGAGATAAAGTTAGAACATTGAGTTGGTGATATATATATATATATATATATTGTTGTGGTTCTCGGCCTTCGATCCCTCACAGACTCACTCCGATTTCACCCTCGTTTGAGCCAAGAACCGAGAAGAGAGGAGGGAGACACGCGATATACGAGTTCGGTACCGAGCCCTAACACTCGGTACCTACGTCTCGGGAAGAGGAAGTGTGTGTCTAGGGTTACAGAACAAGATCTCCGCCGGAAAACGATCGGAGATCGATTCCGGCGCACGGTGCGAAGAATCGCCACCGCGAGAGAGATAAGAACCACAAAACAAGAAGAAAGACCAAGTCTGTGACAATCCGAAAAACCCTAGGGCTCGTTAACACGCCCCTTACAGATTTACCAAATTACCCTTAATGCCACGACGCCGTTTTGTTCACTCCGCTTTGAGAAACACGGAACCCTTGAACTGAATCCAAGTCTCTCGAAACCTCTCTCTCGCTCGGAGGTTTTGTCAAAGATACTTTCAACATATGTATATAAGATTCGGGATTAAACATCTCAGTTTTAAATATGTTGTGTTTTATAAAAAAATATATATATTTAGTTTTTACATCGTATTTTGTGATTGGATTAAAATTTAATTTATTTTCTATTTATTTATATATTTAAATTAATTGGATTTGATTATTTTTTATAATCTGAAAGTTTATTGGATTTGATTATTATATTAGTTCAATATATTTCAATAATTTATATATTGAAATCAATTCTGATATAACTATATAGTAGTTAGATAGGTTGTATTTTGTGTTTAATATTCAAATGTGAAATCTAAATCAGTTTTGCTGAAAAATATGAAATAATTTTAGAAATGCTGAGAATGTGAAAAAAAAAAGTGGGTTTTTTTAATAAATTTTAGTGGGGCTTTCCGAAAATAGGGAAAGTGGGAGAGAAAAAGGGAGAAATATAAAATAAAATAAAATTAAAGCTGCTAGATTTGTGGGACCTACCATAATTCCTCGAATAGATTTCCACGTCCCATCTCCTTGACATTATTCTATTATTTTCTCACACACGCACGTATATTGTATGTATGTATATATGTATGTATGTATGTATGTATGTATGTATGTATGTATGTATGTATGTATGTATGTATGTATGTATGTATGTATGTATGTATGTATGTATGTATGTATGTATGTCGTCTTCTATGATGTGTTGCGTGTATGAAATTATACGCGGGGTAACTTAAGAGTGGAAAATTAACGTCTTTACAGCGATTAATTTGATAAAATTGGAAAGCTAATTAGGGTAATTTAAAAGGTTTATACAGTTTCAGAATAAGAAGTTTCTTAACCAATCGATAAAAAAAAGGCTTAATTTTTGTTTATTTTTCTCTCCATTGATTATTGTTGTTCGGATTCATAAATCGCTAATCTCGCTCATGATGATGTTAGATTACAAAATATTATTATTGTTTTTATTTTTTTGTATCATATAATATATATGTATTATAATTTTGTTTAAGTAAAATAAAATATCTAACTAATAAAAAAACAGTACGCAAGCTTTTTCCTTATTTTCTTTAAGAAAGTAACTTACAATCCGGATGTTTTATATACGGACTTGCTATCTATTTGTTACATGTATGTGTGTGTATATATATATATTATATATATAGGGTTTAGGGTTTAGGGTTTAGGGTATATACATATAATGGCATCCTAATTTATTCAATTAGAATCGAGAGAAAAAAAGAGACATCAATGCTTTATATATTATCACATTTGATAAGCCCATTACACATTTGAAATTTTGGACCGACAATCCACCTCCGTTTCTAAATAAGTTGGATATTTTATTGAAGTTGGATATTTTTAATTAAAAGCAAAATTATAAATTTTCATAAAAAAAAATAAACATAAAACATTGATATTTTTTTTTATTATATAATGGTATATATGTTGATCCATTCTGATTATAAAAATATTTCACCATTATGTATAAGCTAATTATAAATATATAAAGAAAAGGGAAAGTTATATTAAAAAGCTACAAAATGAAATGAGATATATAATGATGAAATTCTAAAAACCACGACATTGTATCGATAAAGAAAAGATACCTTAAATGATTCATTTTCTCTCTTTTAAGGATGTTTTCTTTAGTTAGAGCATATTGAACCATCTTTTTGTCGGAAAAATAAAATATATAAATATTAACATTTCTTTAGTTCCACAAATAAATTAGATTGCAAGCCAAGAAATTAATTCCAATTTTTGACAAAAAAAAAGAAATTAATTCCAACGGAAAATTATTGTACCAACATGATTAATACGAGCAGTACCATACGCTTATATAATCATATTGATAAAAAAAAACTATACGGAAAATCGACAAAGCATGTGATCGTGATTTACAATAATACGTTTTTTTTTAATAATTTGAGGATTTTGTTTTAGTAAAAAATGTATATGTTTTTTGGCTGCATAGACGGATTAATTATAAATTTAGAATTATTTCCTTGATTTATTGAGATTGAGTCATGAATAATGGTGATATCATATCTTTTTTATATATTAAATTTTATCCAATAATCAAGATCGAGTGGTTCAACCGGTAAGGAAGAGTTTAAAATTTATTTCAAATCCAGATTCGAGTCTTCACTTGTGAGGAGAGCGTTCAAATAAAATTTTTCAATTTTTCGATTTTCTGAAAGATGTAGTTGGACCAAAGAAATTATGAATTTTCAGATTATAAAAAAAAAATTAATCAAAAATAATTATGAATTATAAAATTTACTAGAGACTAATAAAATAGCACACAACCAAAGATTGTTTTTCCTAACCTCGTAAGAGAATTATATCATGACAAAAAGACAATACATTAGAAAAAGGTAAAACCCCTAAAAAACCCCAAACTTGCAAAAATATATACAAATAAACCTTCAACTTGAAAAACTATCATTCAATCCCCGAACTTGTAACTTGTCACTGAATAAAACCTCAAACTTACAAATTATTGTTCTAATAAACTTTTGACCGGTTTGACCACAATTTCAGACGATCGAAAATCTACGTATTAACGGATTGATGATGTCACCTTATACACGTTATCAATTTTAATTTAAAAAATGATATCAGCAATCCGTCAATACGTGGATTTCCGATCGTTTGAAATTGTGGTCAAACCGGTCAAAGGTTTATTAGAGCAATAATTTGCAAGTTCGAGGTCTTATTCAGTGACAAATTACAAGTTCGGGGATTAAATGACAGTTTTTCAAGTTGAAGATTTATTTGTATATATTTTTGGAAGTTTGAGGTTTTTTTAGGATTTTACCCTTAAAAAAATGTTAATTACGATGTTTTAAATCAAGGGGCCCACACCCTTAATCAATTAAATCCACACAGGAAAAGAAAAGTCAAAGAGATGCTTAAAAGAGTTGATTAACAATGATTAGCGATATGATAATTAAAATAGACATTTATAATCTTTGTCTAATTTAGTTTAAAGCATTTTTGTTATTAGTGCTAATTATTTAGGGTCTCGTAAGTATTTAAGGACATGCTTTTATTAGGTTATTTTCCCATATTTGAGCAATTCCACGAATGTAAAAAGCTATAGTCAAACGCAATCTTAATTATCATATTTTAATATTGATTTCGGTCAATGTATAATAATTTAATCACTGACGATAATTAAAAGAAAATTGAAAAATAAAAAGAAAGCATGTCCTTTGCCATCCATTAACATCCTCGTATCTATGTTTCTTTTTCTTTTGTAAAAAAATATAAATGTCTCGATTGTTCGTATTTATCATTGTATTATAAGTTTATAACCCAAACGATCTAACCGTATTTTATAATTATATTTAATATTAACATTTTAAAGATTTGATTTGATAATATATTTACAAATATTTTTATCGTCTTTATGCTTAACCATAATCTTACAATTTCAATGAGTTCTCTCTGAAGAGAATAAAAGATTTGAGAGCAAGCATGTATATGAAGGTTACAATACCATATTCCAAAGTAAACCGGGATCTCTTCCGGTTGACTCATAACCGAACCAAAATGAACTGAACCAAACCGAAAATGGGCAATGAGTACGAAACCAGTCCTAAACCGCTCAAAACCAAACCTGAAACCGTTTGATTACAACTTTGATTTTCCAATTTGACCACCATTGGTTAACATAAACCGAAAACTTGTACCAAACCGACCGGTTCCGTCTTACTCTTCCTCTTCAAAGTCCAAGAGAAAATCGGTTAGGTTCTCCGATTCATCTACGGCCTCTTCTAGAGACATGCCACCTTCCTTCTTCGGCTTAGGCTGCTCAATCAAAACACAAAACCCCATATGTACATATATATACATACGTATATATATGTGTTTGTGTGTGTACATATTTGTGTATGTATATGCGTGTATGTATGTGATCCCGAGTTTGAGACTTTACCTTGGATTTTCGAAGCTCGGGCGTGCTTTTCAGAACACTCCAGTTCCGAGGGACTTTCTCGTCTTCTTCCTCCGATTCATCGCCCTCGTTCTCATCTTCCTCGTCCTGTAAATTGTCGAATCCAATCAAATTCAAATATCATCGACAATGTCAAGAAAACTCGACGAAAATAACATATAAAGGGCCGCTGTCACGATGAAAAATGGCGATACTTGCGTCGTTTTCACCAATATCCACGGCTTGTGCCATAGCTTCGTCAATGTCCGGTTCCTAATCAACAAACCTTAGATTAGATTTGCAGGTAAAGGCGGGATCTTGATCGATTCTATAGGAAAACGAGTCAATTACCTCGAGTTGCTCGGGTTTTCCTTTCGCTTGAAGCATTTCGTGCTCCTCTCTTGAGATTATTTTTCCGTGCTAACCAATCAAACAAAGGGTTTCTCAGTATGATTTCACCGTACAGAACAAGAAACCGCTGCGGAAAACGAGGGGACGGGCAAGAACTTTGATCCAAGAACACCGACCTCCTTCAGATAAGCAAGCATATTTGGTGTCGGTTCATGAAAATCCGGTCCCCTGTAATCAATTATCTCGTTTGGATCCTGAATGTAGTTGATTGTCGGGTAGACAGGATCTCCGCCCCATACTGCAAGAAACCGAAAAGAGAAAACGGTGGAAAAAAGACGATAAGGGCATAACATTATCGGCTATCGGATATTTGCGTACTTTGCTTTATTTGCTCCTCCTTCATCCGCATTGCTAAAGGATCTCTCTTGATCCGAATATCGGTTCCCATCATTATCCGATATTCTCGATCAGTTTGATGACAGAACATCTCGATCAGCTGTTCGGTTTCGTCTTCGCCCGTCTCTTCGTAATGTTTCTGTATGGCTTCTCGTGACGTGTCTCTTTTCCACGCTTTCACCCATTCAGAGTAAAAAGCCATCGGGCCTTCTCTTGCCAGTCTCTCTCGCTCGGCTTGCAGCCTTGGAAACCCCGGAAAGTTGTCGGAAAGGAAAATTCGAAGAACGAAACAAACGGGTTTGATCCGAAAGTCTATATATATGAGTATATGTACCTTTCTTCCTTGAAAATATGGCGTCTAGCTCTGTAAAGAGATGCTTCTGTGAGTGTCGGTTCTTTCCCATAGAGCTTGATTTGCCCTGTTTCCGCCATTGCCTTGAGAAAAACCTGCGAAAAAATCGAATATTTAAGTGAATACGATCATTGTGTGGGTGCAAGGAAGAGATATTCCAATGCCAAATCCCGAAAGTCAGAGCTAAACCGTTTCAACGTCGGGGCGCTTTCTCTGCCATCTCGACCATTGTTCCTTCTCCGGCTTTCTCCAGTTCCACCACAGTTCGTCACTCGTGAGGGTCTGCTCTATCGTTTTCTTTTTCTTGGGATCGATAAAAGGGTGAGGCCGTCCAAGTTTCTTGTCTAGTTCGTACCCGTCTTCTTCCACTTCTTCTTCCTCGTTTTGTGTCTTAAAGACAACAAACTCGTTCAAAGAATCGTTTCCCTCTTCACCGGCATCTTCACTATCATCAGAATCCAATACTCCAGTTGACTCAGCAGTCCCGTTTTCGTCCGATTCATCGCTCGTTGCACATATCTCAGATGCTTTTCTGTTCTTCTTTCTCCGACTCCCGGGATTTTTGCCAAATGATGGGGAACTTGTAGAGTCGCCAGCTGGCTCGGGAGCCCTAGCAGCCCTAACCCGACTCGACGTCCCTTCCGGCCAGTAATCCTCTCCCGGAATGCTTGCTCGGGCACCCGATGCAGGTTCAAGTCTTCCAGAAGTTGAATCCATGTAACTATGATACGGAGGCCGCTCAACCGATACATACTCATGTCCTTCATCGTCCTTTCTGTATCCTTCATCCTCATCCTCATCCTCCTTCTTGCATTTGATACAGCGACTTGGAGGATTACTAGCAGTGATACCGACACTTAATGTCTTGATCGGGAACGTGCATACACTTCTTGCCTGCACGGGACATGGAAAAACACATCATTTGCTCAAACAAGAACGACGTTTTTCCATACAACTAAGCCGTTTCACGTAAACCAAACGAAGAAAGATTCTTCCTTTTTCATTTCTATCGAAATATAACAGCGATCCCGAAGAATTGCTTGCACTCGAATCGAAAACCCTTCACATAAACGACCAACCCAGTTCGTGTTCGTATCCCCATCTAGTGAGGGTGCTCGGGAAGGGAATATATTAGGTCGTCTTACCCCTACATTTTATATAGAGAGACAGATTCGAACCCGCGACCTCAGACCCCACGGTAAACGGTTTTACCGCTGAACAGATTGTTCTACAATCATCAAATCAAACACTAAAAGACGACGATGAGAATTGAGATTTTCAGGACCAACCTGAAGAACACAGTAACCCGGCTTTCCCATGTCCACAGACATCAAATCTGCAGAACGAAGCATAGCCATATTTCAACTCAAGATACCGAAAACAGCCGAAGAAAAACCGAAACAGAAGAAAGATTCCGACACAAATACAAAGTTTTCAGCTACTGATTGATCATATACCTCGGTAGAACCATGTGGTCGATATAGAAGCCATGAAATCTCTACAGCACTGTACAGAAACACGTACACGTTAGCATAAACCAGAATCCTCTTTCGTCATTCCATGCAATTAGCACACAGAATCCACAGTTACCAGGAGACGAATCAATGTACAGAAACGAGACATTCTTTGTCTTTTCTTCAACATAACCATTTATGACAAAACTCAAGAAGATATCATCACCCGGCAACTTTATGATAATGTTCTGTAAAAGTTAATGGATAACCCTAAACTACGAGAAGTGAACAAAAACTATGAAACTGGAAGAAACCCAGTAACGGAAGAATCAAACCGAGGGAAAATTTTCCGGGAAAATCGAATCTTTATGCTATTCTACGAAGTTTCACGCTCGTACGACATCAGAGAATCCGTTTGACGAAGCGAGGAGGAAGGTAACAAAATCGAGAAGAAGTTTCTTTTACCTCTGTCGCTATTGAGACTGAATTAGGGCTTTAACGGAGGAACAAGGAGCAGAATTCTTGGTGGGGTTACGCCATGGAAGAAGGGTTGTCGAGGTTTAGGAGTTTCTCAGGGTAAAGCTTCGACCTCTCTCTCATGGAGGATTTTTTCTCAGAAGGGGTTTTAGTTTTAGGCTTTTAGCTAAGGTTTTAATTTTTCAGTTCTACTTTATCCATTATATTTCCTCCTAAAATATGTATAATAAAATAAAATTTAAAAAAAAAACGTATTTCTATTTAGAAAAACATATTTTCCTATCAATTTCACATTTTAAAAAATTGAATTTATTCTTACATCATAATACTACATTATCTGAATAAAAAATCCACACCAATCAATCACAAACTATCATATACCATTAAACTATGGAATTGATATAATAGAAAAAAAAAAAAAAACCAAATCAATGCGAGAGAATTAGGGTGATCCGATTTGAACCCGTAATCGGTTCGAAGGTTTTAGGTTTGGATTGGGTCGGTTTGGATCGGACCTATAAATTTTAGATTTGAATTGGGTCGGGTCGGATCGGACCAACCCGCTCAATTCTTTTGTAATTTTTATCCTTTTCAATTATTATTTTAGAAAAAATAATAAGACTTTCAAGACGGTCCAAATCGGATCCGAAACTCGAATTGAGCTCGATCCAAAAGCCTAAGTATTTTCGGACCGAAAAACTTATACGTAAAATCTGACATTTTTCGAGTGGTTTCGAGCCGAAATTCGGGTATACTGAGTATAACTTAATAATTATAATGTTTTTAAGACCAAACTAAAATAAATAGAATTGTATATGAAAATATCAAAAGAAATCAAAGAAAGTAAACTATTTTAAAAAAAAATTAAATATGAATAGTTTTTAAAGAGAAAAAAATTAAAATAAAAAATAATTGAAACGGAATTCAAATCCTTGGCCCTAATTATATCTCTTTACGTGTGTATCATCAATATATAAATTTTATAGGCCTCATACATAAAATCATGGGCCGACCCATTCATAAGGAGAGCCCAAACTCAAACCCAAGCCCAAGTACCATGTAAATTGGCAATTATGTGAAAATCAAAGGGAAATTTTCATCAATTTATCCAAATGTGTAATATAAAATACCTCAATTTACATATTGCCAAATAAATAATTCAATTCAGTCAACTTATATCAAATAAACACCAATTTAGTCTATTTAGCATAAATTGATACTCTAATCATCGATTGGGTATCTATCTAACATAAATTGATTAAATTGAAACATTTATTTAGCAATTTAGAAATTGAGATATTTATGTAACACATTCGGATAAATTTGGATGGTTTTATGGAATTTTTCCAAAATCAAATTTTAAAAATCAACAAGGCTTGATCGGAATCTCGTGTATAATCAATAGGGAATAAAATAAATTAAAATTTCATTATATTGTCCCGGAAATTAATGAATATAAATATCATGAGTATAATTAATTATAAATAAACAAAAACATCATGCTGCCTAAAAACCAGTTTTTTAACGGTAAAACACTTAATAATTAAGTTTGCGTCAAATAAAAAAATAGTTCTAATAAGTGTATTTAAAATAAATCAAAAATATTAATTTTAAAAAAATGGATCTGAACGGTAACTGGGTAATATAGTGTGGTCTGATTTCGTATTAAATGGTTCTGACCAAGACACATTATAGACATTACGACATCTACAACACCTCTATAAACCCTAAATCCTACACATAATTATATTTATATATATATATAAATTAATTAATTAATAAATAAAATGAAATTAATATATATATATATATATATGAAATTTGACAGAGGTAGGCCACGTAAGAACTACGATAAAGATCTGACGAAAACACACACGCACCATAGCTTGACGTTAACTATTCGTGTGCATCGAGATTATCCGTGCGACGTCGTTTTGTCAATTTCCCACTTTTCAATAAAATAAATCTAAATTAAATAAAATTATAGTAATATTAATATACAATATTTCGTATTATTGAATCTCCCCTTTTTTTTAAAAAAAAATGGATATGAGACGTCTCAGATATAATGCAAATTTATTCTTATTATTTTATGGTTCTTTATCTGTTCTTGAATCATAGCTCATTTGTTTTTTTTTATTATAATGAAAAATACGGAAAATCTAATATATTTAGATTATAATTATTTAGGACGTAATTTTGCATGGCTTCTGCGGATATACAATTTAAAAAACATGAAAAAAAACGTATTAATTAAAAATGTGTAATCCTAATGAAAGATAGAAACTATAGGTCAATGGATTTAATTAATAACACAATAGATATTGTAATTGAGAATTTTCTTTAATTATTTATTTATTTTAAAGCATTAATTACAGTGCCTTAATCTTTGTGATACAAAATTAGTGTAATCTGACAATCTCGTTACTCCCTTCTTGTGTTCCAACTTGCGACATTTTTCACTTCCACACGTAATCGGAACAGAATCTCACAAGTGTCGACCTGTCATTACGCCACGTGGCAGTAAACCTACACTTATATACGTGTATATTTACGTGTAATTGATGTAGACAAGTCGTAAGGCAGAACGCAAATGGACATGTACGTATACATAAACAGCCAACGAGAGAGACATTTATATTTTATAATATATTTATTAGAGATCAAATATAAGAGATTTGTATATATATATATATCTAATATATATTTTAGTAAATATAATTGGAGATTATCATCCATGTAACTGAATACTCCAGCATTAGACACACATATTAAGAAAAAAAATATTTTGTCAAAAATACCCTTCTTAATTAGTCTTATTAATGATAAAATATACACATGTAGAATATTTGACTGCTATTAATAATGGACAAATTTGGAAAAAAATATTAAAAAATACATTGAAAATTGAAAAATGTCATTTATTTTAAAACAAAAAATTACTCTAACACGTCTTTTAAACGGATGGAGTATTAATTAGATGAAATCATGCAACAACAGTATATGATATCAACTAGAGGTGACTATTTTGCATTTCAATACGAGTTCGGTTCGTTTATATTCGAGTTCTGTTATTTGGATTATAAAAAAACTATAATCATTCGGTTTCTATATAAACCTTAATTTCATTCGATTCAGTTATTTTTTTATTCGATTTTTTCAGTTATTTTTTTTAATTGATTCGATTTAATTCGGTTTCAATTTTTTCAAATTTAGAAAAATAATAACCGTTCGATTACAGTTATATCGTATTTGATTCAATTCAATTATTCGATCAACAACCAAAATGATCACCTAAGATCAATTCTAATGTTTCAATATATATATATATATAACTGGAGTTGTTTCCGAATTTAATAGTATCATAGTTATACATAAACTTATTTCGATAATATAAATTTTTTTAGAATATTATAATTTGTATTTCAATCGTTTTGGATACTAGAATTTGAGTATCCAAAAAGGTTTGAATTTTAGTTTTTGAGATGTAGTACTCTTTCATTATTGGACGTTCAAATTCGACATTAGAAAAAAAAATCCAAATATACATGGTATCTGAATTTAAAATAGGTAAATATAATTTTATAATTGTTAATAAATGTTAGTAATATATTTTTTAATTTCTAAAACATAAATACATTTGTTGTAGTTTTTTAAAAATATTTTATAAATTTATTAGTATAAATAATATATCTCTATAATTATGTCAAATATCTGTAATTTTGTATAAAAAATGATAACAAATGAGCCAAAATGCAATCTATAAATCATTTTAACATATAGATTTGAATCCGAAATCGAATTATTATGATCTTATACAATCAAATACTCAAAAAAGGAAAAATTTTATAAAAATTAAAGATCTTGTTATTTTTTCTTTATAATTCTGAAATTTAACGTACGTTCGACCTAACTAAATCTTTTAAAAAATTAGAAAAGTTTAGATAAACACTTTTTTTCACGTTTAGATTTTAACCCGAGATATAAAAAAAAACATGTTTTACATATTTGATTATCATTATACAACCCAAACTTGCATTCTTGTTATATTATTATTATTTGTATTATATCTGAATAATATTTTTTCAAATAATATATATATGAAAAAGAGAAGATGTGGGGGCAGAGGGAAGACAAGAACGGGACAGTGGCATAAGTCAGACTGGCGGAAGTGCCGGGTGGGCAGGTTCTCGTCCTCCCCCCCATGTGTTGTCACTTATTATTATTATTATTATTATTATAAATGTTACATTATTATTTAATTAAAATATTGTGTAATTTTGCATGGGAAAATCTTCGGGTCCACGTAAGCGCGTGAGAAGGGAATATGAAACCTCGGTTTCTGCAAAAGAAAAAAAAACAAAACTTTACTCCATCCCATGACAAGACTTTGACTTTTGAGTTATGTTTTCCAAATCCATTTTCACATTAAATAATAATAATTAATATAATTAATATTATTATTAAGTATTTCTTGTTATTCAATCAATCAAACCACATCTATTTTCTAATGATTTAAAGTTTTGATAATTCTTAGAACAATTATAATAATAATAATAATAATTAACAAAAGACCTTGATGGGTTGTTGTTTGTGTTGTGGTCCATGATTCACACATTTTAGGAGAGACAAAACATACACGAACGGTCCAAAACATTTTGCGCCAACATTTGTTTAATCATTGATATTTATTTTCACTTTTTTTTAATCTCTTTTTCTAATTATAAGTCACCGATCCTCATTGTTTCTAATTATTAATTAATCATTGGGTTTTACGGTCACTTGGTTAAGCTTTTCACTTAATTATTTTTCTCCACTGTCATTATTGGTAAACGTTCCCGTAGCTAATTTTTCATATATATATATATATATGTATATATATGTATGTGTGTGGACGGACCCACATTGATATAAATGGGGACATGTATCCCATTTGTTTGATTAAAAAATAATAATTTCTTAATAAAATTTATATCATTTTAACTAAATTTTATAAATACTATTAGAGAACGTATTTCGTTGGTTTGGTTCGATTTGTGTATTGGTTAATTTCGGTTTAGTTTTTCTGTTTTTCCCCTTTCATTTTCGAACTCAGTATATGTAACGCTTCTTTTCATTTTTCGGATAATAAGAGAAAATTTTCCCAACTTGATTTGTGTTTTCTCTCTACCAAATTCA